ACTACAACTACTACAACTACTGCTGCTGCTGCTCCTACTACTACTACTACTACTACTACTACTACTACTACTACTACTGCTACTTAAAGCTACTACTGCTACTGCTACTGCTACTTTAACTACAACTACAACAACAACTAACTAAATCTACTACTAGTGCTAGTACTAGTACTAGTCCTACTACTACCCCTCCATGATGCTACTGATTGAAATTACACATACCGAACCATCACACACATGCAAATTGCGGTTGAGTAGCAGCATTGCTGTCGTAACCTTGAGCAGCGAAGCCATCTGCTCAACCACTTCTTGCCCTTGAACAACCGGCAACGGCAGCGGTGGCGGCGACAGCAACGGATTCGCCAGCGGCGGCATCGGAAAGCCGAATGGCACGTTCAACGGGTTCAGAGGCTGGCTCACGGGCGCTGGCTCTTGCTGCGGTCTTGCTCTGTGCTGCAGCGGCTGTTGCCGAGGGTTGAGCGGCTGCTGCTGTTGCTGCGGCTGGGCTCTCTGCTGCAGCGGCTCTTGCCGAGGGTTGAGCGGCTGGTTCACGCGTGCGGGCTCTTGCTGCGATGTCCTCTGCTGTTCTTGCTGCAGGGCTCTCTGCTGCAGTGGCTGTTGCTGAGGGTTGAGCGGCTGCTGCTCTTGCTGCGGCGGGGCTCTCTGCTGCAGCGGCTCTTGCCGAGGGTTGAGCGGCTGGTTCACGGGCGCGGGCTGCTCTTGCTGTGATGTTCTCTGCTGTAGCGGCTGTTGCTGACGGTTGAGCGGCGGCTGGCTCACGGGTGCCGGCTGCTCTTGCTGCGGCGGGGCTCCCTGCTGCAGCTGCTGTCGCAACGGCTGCCACCGCGGTGGCGGCATTTCTGGGACCTGCGGCGGTGCTGCTAGAAGCCCTTGCTGAGTTTGTGCAGCTGAAGTTTGTGGGGCTGGTTGCTGTTGCCGTGGCTGTGCCACTTGCTGCGGCCGCTGCGAGGAGGGGGGGGGAGTCTGAGGAGTTGGCGGGGCTTGTTGGACCTGCTGCTCTTGCTGTTGCTGTGCTGGCTCAGTTATTTGCATTTGCCGTCCTTTTGGCCGCGGAGTTAGCGGGGCTTGGGCTTGGTGCTGCAGCCCTGCTGGTGGTGGGCTTGCTGCGGCTGTGGCTGGACTTGCTCGTGGCATTGGCATTTCTGGTCTTGCTGAATGCTTTGGGTTTAAAAGGCTCTCAGGTGGTCTCCTTGGACTTGCTGCGGCTGTGGCTTGACTTGCTTGTGGCTTCAGTGCTTGTTCTGGCTGCGGCCTTGCTGGGGGGCCAAAGCTGACGGGTGGTCCCATTGGCTGGCGGGGCAATGCCGCAGGCTCTGGCTCAGGCAGAGGCTGGGAAGGCATGTTCACCTGTGCTGGCGAAGTTGATTGTGGCTCCACGGGCTCTGGTCTGTCCTCTGGTCTGCTTGGCTCTGCGTTACATCTGGCCACGAGTGGTCTGCTTGGCTCTGCTTTACATCTGGCCACGACCACTTGAGGAGCCTTGGCTTTGTTGAGGACCTCTTGCCGTGCAGCTCGTTGCCTGCAATATAACTCTTGCGTGCAAACTACCTGAGTCCAGCCATGGATGTGACGACTGAATAATATAATACTAATCTTTAACAAGTAAGTCTTAAAGGTTAGTTTTATTATCAAGATGCCAAGTCACGCCAAACCGTTTAAGCGTGTGTCGGAGTACGGCGCCTTCCCCCTTTTTTTTCTTCTTCTTCTTCTTGCTCCGGTCCTCGTCGCCCCCCTGCTGCTCGGGCCAGTGCCGGTGTTCATTCCACTGCGTGGCACGGTCATTCCACTGCTGATCTTGCCACTGCTCATCTTGCCACTCATTCCACCGCCACTGCTCATCTTGCCACTCATTCCACCGCCACTGGTCATCTTTCCACTCATTCCACCGCGTGGCACGGTCATTCCACTGCTGATCTTGCCACTGGTCAGCCATGGAAGCGGAGCTACTACGTGTCAGTGTCTACTCGTCTTCACTCACTCTACGTTGTAAAAAATATAATTAATTAATTATGCTTCTGAGTCTGACTGAGACAACCTGGTCAACTGCGGACGCACTGTTCTTGCTGACTCAATTCAACCTTGACGTGAAGCCAAATCTGACAAATGGTCAACAACCGCTGATTCGATTATTGATCTGATCAAAAGCCCACTGCAGAAAACCAAACCACCCGGGTCTCCTCCTGCTAGAAATCTGGCACGACGAGGCATGCGGAGGTCTGGCCTCGGTAGTCAATCTGGCAATTCACTTAGCATGAATTTTGTATATTATTATTAATTGATTTGAATTTTGTATATTGATTGATTGCCTTGGGCAAGTCTCTAACTAATGTCTAACATTTTTTACAAATGTTCTTGCCTGTTTGGAGATTGGTCCCGGTTTAGGGCTCGGAGTTGGGTCTGAGGTCAGGCAGAGTTCAAGTCTGATGGCTTCGGGCAGCTAGCAAATCGGAATCTTGCGCGGGAGAGGGTGGTTCGGTTTACACTTACGACTTACATTCAAAGCTTGCGGAAGCTCCGTATTTATCAGGGGGCGTTCGTCATCGGTTCTTACGCTCTCGGCAGGGTTAGGTCTTGCCCTGAAATTCCCACATCAAGAAACACATCACAGTCTTATTATACACTGTAACACTGACTACTCAACCCAACAACCATCAACCAATGGCCAATAATATCAGTTCAATACGACGTAACTAGTTGCTTGCTGGAAGAATAATCTTACTCTGCATTGACCCTCCTTTCTAATCTTGCGACCGCCCGGTCGGCATCCTATGGACGTCTGTTGATCTTACACCTTACTCCCTACCGTCTCTCCATATAGTGACTTTGCTATCTCTTACTCGTACGACCTCACGGCCGGCGTCCAAATGGACGTCTTGCTAATTCTTGCCGTATTACGACTCGGCTTCCCAGCCGCTGTTCTTACGACCTCACGGCCGGCGTCCGATGGACGTCTTGCAAAAACGGGCGCGACCTCCCGGTCGACCCGGCTAGCGTAAATCTTACTCCTAGACCCGGGCACGACCTCACGGTCGGCCCATTAACTCCTAACCCGAATCCTTAGGCGCTCACCCGGAAACCCTCACTGAGTACTTTGCCCGGGCTCCCAGCATCACCATGATCTTGTCCAAGACGTGAATGCTCTCTTGCTTGGGCTGGGCTTGCGGCTTCAGGAGGGCTGCATGGTGGGGTTGGTTTCTTTTCTTTCGGGTCTTTGGGAATAGGGTTCTTACAATGGACTCGGGCCAAACCCTGCAAGACTCGCAAACCCCAAACCCTCCCAACTGCAGCGAAGCCGAAGTCTTGCCCTGACTGAACCTTCCCCCCTTCCCAAAACAAAAAGACACAGCAGCACGCATGATTATGATGACGATGATGATGGTGAGTATCTATATGTGTTCATATTTGTTGTTGCTATTAACTACATTCTTTATGCTGCTAACAGTTAGTAACAATGTAATTGCCTAAGCCTCTGTCTACACTATTGTCAAGTTTGTTCTTTCGACTCAACTGTTGTTTATTCTTTCTGGTTACAAGCAGAGGGATGATCGTGATATTATTGTACTCAATCTTGCTGAAACCTGCTGATTATAAAATAGTACTATTGTTCTTGTTAGCCAGTATTCAGTGTTACAACAGGCAAAACCACGAATAATCTAGCTAAGTCAAAGTGTGTATTTAATTATTCATCACTTATACGGCAGTATGTTTTGATTAGTGTTGACATCATATCATACACAAGTTCATAAAGATGCTTAATTATTATACAGAACCACTCAAAGAAAATAGATGCATATCCAGGACACACATGTTCTGCGTCCAAATTAAGCAATCAGGAAACTGAGTTTTTTATTATTGATACTATTAGAATATGAATTGGGATCGTACCGGTGATAGGCAGGCCCCTGTGAGAAATAGTGTGCTGATGATGAGTTATTTAAAAATTATTGTTTAAATTGTTACCACTAGCGATAGTATCACAAATTGAATAATAAGAAATAGCTAACAAACAATATACTTTATTGACAATGGCCTGTATGGACATTGATTATCAATTAGTAACTCTGAACAGCACACTAACAAGTATTCTGCAAGTTAATTGTTCATGACAGGGTTCCCATATTATTCATCTATGACTAAGAATACAAGCCATTCAGGCTTCGAATGCAAATCTATTATACTATGAGCCATTCGTGATAAGGTTAAAGTATGCACATTATTGCTAATACTTTTTAGTTTATTAGTTTTTCACATTCATTGTAATTTCACCTTTGTATTTTTTGAATATAAATATTACTAAAATTATTAATATGAGACTTAATAAATATTTGTATTTAATACATCATTAATAATACTAGTATTAGTAATATTTAATTACTAATTTAATTAGTGTATTAGTATTATTAGTTCTGTTGTTACAAATTATATTGAAATATCAGTATCATAAGTACTAGTATTTAAATAAATTTAAGTATAATAATAATTTATGTAACATTAGTATTAGGATTTAATTAGTATTAGTATTAAACAAATTAGTATTAGCATTAATATTAGTATTAGTAGTTATTATTAGTAGTATTATTATATTAGTATTAGTATTATTAGTATTATATTAGTATTCGTATTATTGATATTAATATTAATATTAATTATAATTAAATGAATATTAATTAGTTATTATTAGTATTATTAGTATTAATTAATATTAATAATATTAGAATTTAATAATAAAGGTTCGAAGGAGGGGAGGTGTTCGGCGAGGGTTCGGCGAACGCCGGCGGGGTTCGACGAACTTCGGGCGAAGGGTCGGGTCTTGCCTTTCCAAAGTGTTGCCCCCTTCTGTGTTAAATAATTTAAACACCAAGTAACCCAGACCCTCATCTAGTTATGCGGCCCGCAGTAGAAGTTACAAACACGAAAAGAAATCCCGAGCTCTAACCCCTGAACACTAAACCCTGTCAGCCCTAAGCCCAGCTCCCGGCCTAAGCCAGAAAGCAGTTCGGTCAAGCTGCCTCGTGCCGCCAGCTGCCTCAGAGCAGCCACAAGATTCAGTCTGCACCCGTACCGCAAAGCGCCATCTCTTTCAAGGAACCTTACTAGCACACCAGCATAAGGAACCCTGCAGAGGCAGGCTCTTTGGCTTGAGGTATTTGTTGTTTAGGCTTTAGGGTTATCGAAGCATGGAGGTGTGAGAACAATAATCGCCTAACAGGGGCCCATGAGCCCCCCGAAGCTCACGGCTACAGCTAAAATCCCACGGCAAACCATTGTCTGCTGCGGAGGGTTTGGGCGGGGCTGTCTTGTACAGCCGCGGGGAAGACTCAAGTGACTGAAGGTGAAAGATTCGGTAAACCTGCTGCAGACAATGAAAACAACATCTAAAAACTCAGCACCTGTAAGAATCGGGACGAACAACCTTGCAACGACTTCGAAGCCGTCTGACAAGTCATGCTGCGCCGGTGTCACGACAGAAGTCTCTGCCGTTCGCACTGTGCCGCCACCCTGCAGGGCAAAAGGCTCACCAGGGCTTAAACCCAGAGCCTGCGCTGTGCCCAAACCAAATGCTCGCATATCGCAGTGGCTTTGAAAGGATACATTAAACGCCCTGAACCTTAGAGTATACGATACGTGCACGTGCAAACTCAGCGGGCGGGAGAGGGGGCGGTGCCTGGACTTCGGCGGATGTGGGGAGTTTATGCTTAGCTTGCGGATGCACAGCTCAGCAGAACATACTTCAGGATGCCTTTCTTGCAAGTCAATTTGGTGGAGAGTAGTGATTGCAGCCCCAACGTCATTACACATACATACATACATACATACAGACATACATACATACATACATACACACATACATACATACATACATACATACACACATACATACATAGTTACATACATACATACATACATACATACATACATACATACATACATACATACATACATACATACATATGTTACATACACATACATTACATACATTGACATACTTACATACCAATATTCACTCATTTCTTACATAAATACATAATTAACTACCTATAATAATTATAGATGGATACATAGAAAGATACATGCATGTGCTGTGTACACATACGCACACATGACCCTTGCTTGAGCTACTTTCTACAAGTACTCGAGCATGTTCACGCGGAGGACCAAGCTCAATATACCTATTTGCGACGTGGGTGGCAACACTTGGAAGCTGGCGCCAGATGCGTACACATTCCACATGGATTACGGCATAAAAACTATTATCTTGAGCCGGGCCCGGAAAGTAACAATAGGTAAGAGTGGGCATGCGTTCGACTCCATTGTTTTGCCGCAAGCACTTCTTCATCTGCGCCTCATGACTTTGGTGAATGCCTTTGCTCTACTACTTGTGAGCCCTTGAAGCCCCAGCAAGGACGCCCGTGTCGGCAGGTCGCCGGGAAAAGAATAGAACATCATTATTTTCTCTTCCGTTGGCAAGCGCCTGCCTGACCTGTTCGCATCGCAGCCTTTCTTGAGTAAGATTGTTGCACGTTTCCACTGCCTCAGATGCTTGTCGACATATCCAACCGACATCTGCTTTTTCGATGCCTGTGCCTTAAAGCCTCCAGAAGACCCCGATAAAGCTGAACAACGCTGATGCACAGGCGCGTGACACACGCAACACGAAAAGCGTAAAGTTTATCAGGGTCTTTCATATTCCTAATTGGAGGACCGTCATCATAGGTTACGTTATCCAATCTAAAACAGGGTTGGGAAACATCCAGGACCGTCTAGCAGCCGTCCTTCTTCGAGCTCTGTCGCATCTCAGTGCCCTCGAGAATGGACGAGATGCCCATCCTCAACAATTCTGTCGGTTTTGTATACACACCCTACAGCCCACACACCGAAACCCTATAATAGAGCCCTAAACCCCGCACCGAAGAGCCCAACACCGAGGCACCGAAATTACGAACACGGAAGGATTGGAAGCTTTGCCCTAACCTTTGCCCTAAACCCTAAACCCTAAGTTAGGGCCACCCTTTGCGGCCTCTAAGGTCCAACGGTAACAGAGGGTCCCTTAATCCCATAAAGCCATAAAGCTCTAAGCCCTGACGTTTAGGGTTTAGGACTTACTATGTTCTGCAGCCCTAAGCCCTATAAGTCAAAAAAACCCTAAACCCCTAAACCATAAATCCAACAAAAATGCAAAAACTCAAAGTTTAACCCTGAGGTAAAATTTAGAGTCGTTTGAGTCTCTAGGAAAATAATGCCCCCAACACTTGCCAACACCTGTTAAAGGCGATTATTTCCGCTATTCTACGTACATTTGGGGATCCAGGTAGGGGCTTACTTGGAGGTTCATGGGTAGTTATAAGTGAGGCTATAAATAGGGTAACCATATCCATAATCCATGTTAGGGGACTTGTATAACTCCACTTACAACTACCCATGGACCTTCAAGTAGACCCTATACCCTTATAGACTTATAGAACCCCTTTAGATCCCTTTAAAGGGACCCTTAAAGGAACCCTTATAACTACCCGTGAACCTCCAAGCAGGGTTGGGCCTCACGTGTTGCTTTTGGGTATCGGGGTTGAAGGGTCCGGGGGTGAGGATTTAGGGTTTAGGGGTTTAGGGTTTAGGAGAGCTTAAAGTTTGAATTGCAAGCTTCCGCTTTTGAAAGCGTGCAAGAACTCGATGTTTGTTACATTGTTGAGGAAAGTCGAGCGGAACTCTATGTATCTCCACCAAAAAGAAGCCCTTGCGAAGCTCCCCCACTCGAGAGAGCCTCAACCCAAAACTCCAAGCCCTACAAAGATGCTACAGGCCCCTAAACCCTAGACCCTGACCCCTAAACCCTAAACGCTGAACCCTGAACCCCAAACCCTGAACCCTACAGCCTAGACCCTTGGTAACCGAAACCGTCAAGCCGAAATCCTGTAAAGGACAGTTTCGGAAAAGCGGCAGGGAGCTGAGGAAGTCTTTGAAAGGGAGCTCCCCGTTTCCTGTGGCGTCGCAGCTATTGAACAGAAACTGTGCACCTGCAGCTTTCGAGGGCTCTTGGGGCTTCGGTTTCGAGTTTGCTTCGGGCATGAAGCACCCTAAACCCTATAAACCCTAAGCACCTATATAGGGCAGCTAAACCCTAAGAATCTGTATAAGGGCACGCGAAGACCATTGATGCAGAGATCTGTGATTTCGGTAAGTATAAAGCTTCCCGGACACCGAGTTCAGTGCAAAATCCAATACCGTTACACTTGCCTAGCTAGTGAAGATACTTTACATGATACTATACAGGCATCCTATTGTGATTTGAGAATATTGAAAACAGAGATATTCAAAGATCTGGATAATGATCCTGCAGCACTCCCCTGCTGAGTTTGGCATCCAAACCACTCGAAATCACTAGTCGTAACAATGCCGTACTATTTGATATAGGGGCCCTAATATGTCATACTATAAGTCTAATAAGGAGCTTTTAAAACAGTTTAGTATTGGTCATTAGGCCCCCAAAATATAGAACTCTACTATGGATCCCTTCTAGAGCCCTTTAAAGCAACCCTATAGCTTAAAATAGTTGAATATTGGTATGTACTTAGGCAAACCTATAGCTTAAAATAGTTTAATATTGGTATTTACTTAGGCCCCTAAATTAGGCTCCCTGGTTCTACACCGGCGTGGTCTCCGGCTCTGGTGAGTTTCGGAGTTTCCGAAGTTGGCAACCACAGTGCCGTGCAAACTTTGAGGTGCGCAGAATGCAGGGGCCTTATTTTTTTGCGTAGAATACGTAGGGTTTGGGTGCATAGTCTACTATTAATGATAATTAGGAACCCCCCCCCAACAACTTTTTTATTTGTTAAGGCCCCTACACTAGCCGCCTGCGTTACTGCCTCCCGAATCGTGCTCCCGCCACAATGCCATGCATGTTATGGGTGCGACTCGCGCTTGAATCGTGCTCCCGCTAAAGGCCGGTTCCTGCCACAGTGCGGAGCCTGTTCCCCAAAAGGGTCCAAGTAATAGCTTTTATAAATCTGCGAAGTACCTGCAAAAATTGCACTTGGACCCTTTGGTTTCTGCGCTTTTTGGATGGGGTCTGAAAAGTCTTGCGAGCCTCAGAACTGCTCCGGACATAGGGCAGCTGGCATTGCTGCGGGGTGCTATTTCACACTCTAAACGCCCTGATCCTGAACCCATACGTCATCCTAAGCCCAAATCCAAATCTCAGTCCTTTAACCCGTCTACATAAACGTTTGAGCCCCAAAAGTATATACTGGGGAACATGTAAACCCTAAACCCCTAAACCCTATACCCCATAACCCTAAACCTCTAAACCCCTAAACCCTATTACCCTAAACCCCCAAACCCGACAACCCTAAACCCCTAAACCCCTAAACCCTATTACCCTAAACCCCCAAACCCGACAACCCTAAACCCCTAAACCCCTGCAACCCTAAACCCCCAAACCCTACAACCCTAAACCCCAAAAAAAAAACAAACCCTAAACCCCTAAACCCTATACCCCATAACCCTAAACCTCTAAACCCCTAAACCCTATTACCCTAAACCCTACTACAAGCCCAAGACCCGAAGGCTGAAGCCCGAGGCTTAAAGGCCCTTCGCCAGCATCTTCGGGCCTTGAAGCTCCTCATTGGCTTTCAGACCTGGTGGTCATCAGGGGTTTAGGGTTCAGGGTTTAGGATTTAGGGTTCAGGATTTAGGGTTTAGGATTCAGGATTTAGCGTTCAGAATATTGGATTCAGGGTTTGGGATTGAGGGATTAGGGTTCAGGGTTTATAATTGGTTGGGGTTAGGGTCTTTCCCTCTGGCTTCTAGTGCCTTTCATGCCGGGTCTTGGGACGTGTTGGGTTTCCACGACGGTTCGGGTCTTAAGGATTGGGCTGAGGATGGAGGAGCTCTCTTCCAGGGTGTTCGGAATGAGCCGAGACGAAAAGATTCACGAATTCAGTAGGGCTTTGAAAGCACATTCTAAACAAAGCTATACCTGCAGAGGGATTTAGTAGGAGATCTTTTTCGAACTTGTTCCGATCCCTCGTTTATGCGCATGGCAAATGGGGCTTTCGGAGCTGAATCTGCCTTTTTCGGATCGTGGGTTCGCAGCTTTCGGGGTTTGCATTCACCCAAAGGGGGCCAAGTACCATTGTAGAATTGTAGTAGGTACTTAGTATATAAGTAATTTGGGCCCCAAAAGTATACATACGACATTATTACTTGGACCCTTTGGGTCATGAGGTCTGGTGTAGGTACTTCGTAAGTATTTGGGCCCCACAGATACGTACTCTACTACGACTTGGACCCCTTGGGATTTAAGGTAACGAGGGGGAACCCGCGAACTGAAACCCCTAACAACCTACAAGCCTTAAGCAATACTTAGGTGCCGAGTTCATAAGCCAAAAAAAGTTTAAACTTTCAGTTTTAAGAGGGTTTCATTATCCCAAAAAGTTTAAAGTTCATAAACTCAGCTACTAAGAATAACCTGTAAAGGCATCCTAGAAATCCTGGGGTTCAGGGTTTGGGGATACCACGTGATTAAAGCCTAAAGCGACTCCTCAACACAACTCAGCTCCCCGTCTGCCACGAGCGGCACGCGTCGACGATGCGACGGAAGTCGTCGAAAGCGATGCTGCCACCTTGTCGGCGCTGGTCTTTGTGGAGACAGTCTATAACTTGGGGTTCAGAGACTACGGCTTTGGTTTAGGATTTTATGAGAAAGGGGTCGTAGGCTTGAGGACTTTAGATTTAGGATTTCAGGTTATGCCTGTCATGAATACATGACATGATCCGTTCAGGCGTTGGTACCCTTCGGTATAGGAAACGCGGAAAACAGAAGGATCGGGGTAAGATGGCCCTGACGTCGTACATGAATGACACTTTGGCATGAACTTTACTTATTCAGCGTGGCTCCTGCCAATGTGGAGAAGCAAGTAGATGTACATTCAATGAGATAACATAGTATGCATGCAGACACGCTTTGCTTCTCGATGAGTCAGCACTCAGCACGTTTGGTGCTGCAGTGTAGCACCAGCTGCTGCAAGATGCTATGCGATGCTTTCGACATGTTGAGGCTTGCAGAAAAGGGAACAGGAATGTTGCTAATTGTTACGCCGAGAGACTGAGAACTGAAACTCGAACAGACATGCCCTGCAACATGATTCCTGTCGTATGACTCGGTTGATTGCTCGATGACCGCCAGGACAAGTTGATTTAATGTCTTCTCGTTGAAGAACTGTTCTGGGCTGCATAACAATAATTCATAATTACTTGCAACATCATGTCTATCGGCGTGACACCACCAATCTTATTTTGGAAAGGATGTTGTGTTGCTGCCCGAATAGCTTTGCACTATTCCTCGACGATCGCGGAACTCGATACCGCGTGATTCTACCAGATATACAAGGTTTGCCAAGCATTGCATGGCTTGCATGCGCGAGGTGCAGGCTCCATCCCTCCTTTTGACCACCCCTATAGTCTAGATAGTCTAGAGTCTAGAGGCCCTCACAGTCAATTGCATGTCATATCAAAGCGATAAAAACCCCCTTCTACACTCGAACCTGAAAAAATGAGACTGTCGCTGGGGCCTGCTCCTGCTGTTTGTACGTCAAGGTCCATCTCCTCGCAGATGCGCCGGTGTTGGTTTGATGGTTCGGCTCTCTACGTCGCATGCGCTCTCCCAAGGCATATAGTAGACAACTTTTGCGTTAGACAGGACAAAGCCCGTTAAACCGGCCGCTGCTTGGCACAACACAGCAGAGCATCTGATCCCGAACCCGAATACCTCCCTCAGCTTGCTACCTTAACCTTGCATGACCTACTATGGAAGGTATAGGGACCCCAGGAAAGACGAGGTTCTAGTTGGTTAACGTAAGCTTCAGGGTAAGCAAAGATTCCAAAGTATCACGGAGGAGACACAGGTTTAGACAAGCAGGCTCTCGAAGCTGAATGCTCAGATTTTGGGGTGGTTTGGGGTTTAGGATGCTTGGGGCTTAGGGTTTATAGGGTTTTTTGGGGCTTCGTAGTAGCGTAAAACTTGCAGATGTGCAAGACCGCAAATTGATGCATGGAACCTGCTTAGAGTGATATGGCATCAACTAGCTCTTGGCTAGAAATGCCGAACAAACTCCGAGAACTGGGCGAAGAGCAGCAGCCTCAAAGCGGACAAGCCCGCACTAATAATTCATGCTTTCACGGTGCCAGGTAGAAAATGTACCGAGATGTCCATGCACTTATGTGGTGCATGCTACATCGAGTCTCTTTGCACAGGCTTTGCATCTTGCTTGCTGTCGACAAGATCCCTCGTTCCTGGCAACCATAACCTAAAATGTGGGAACATCACCAACAAACCCCCGCGAACCCCAAACTCGATGAACAGCGCACCCAAAAATGCCTTGAAAATGGAACCCCGATGCCAACACCCATCTTGGAACCCCTAGAACTCGAAACCGCGAACCGGAACGACGTAAAAACCCCAAACCAAGACTCCTACACCCGTACCACAAATTACTTCAAACCCCAAAATACGAGGTAAACCTATCCTCCCTCAACTTGTTTCACCCTGACCTGGGCTATCGCTCGTGGAAGCGGGGCTGCCAAGAGGTCGAAGAAGTGCCGGAAAATCTGTGGTGTCATGTAGGAGCTTTGATAAATCGAACACTGGTTTGGGGTACATTCGAGTATAGTTATCACGAGGAACCCTACTTCAGGGTTTAAGGCATAGGTCTCTTGGCGCTTTAGGGTGTCGGGGTCCAGGGTTTGGAGTTTAGCGGTTTGGGGATTTCGGAATTAAGGCTCTAGGAGTTTGCGGGATGAGGGCTTGGGAGTTGAGGTGTAGAGCTTATTGTGTACATAGATTAAGGAATTGCTCTGGTTTCGCATGCGGCCGAACTGGATTTTTGATGTGTTGCGGGCTTGCCCCCACAACACAACAGAAGCTTGCAAGCATGACAGGGCTTGCAGCAAGGCAGGGCCGGAAGAAGTTGAAACAACGACTGCCCAAACTCAGATGCTCGATTGCATAATGTAGAGGCCGTATGAAACTTTGAACAGGGTTTTGGGGCCTGGGGCATAGCATACTGTCATGACAATACCAGTAGTACATCTCGGGGTTGTCTCGGCATGATGCTGATCTTGACACACCTGCATCCAAACATATGCGTATATCTACACGCATGCACAACTACAAGTGTAAACACAAGCAAGTTCAGCCACTCCGATGAATGAGCTCCAAAGGACGCATCATTCCCAATCATTCTGCAGAAACAGCCAAGCCTCGGGTTTATGAAATGCCGAAACGAGCCATGCTTCGCTAAATCTACGACATCCTGTGAGAACCTTCCAAGCGCTTCTGTCCAGCTGACCCGTGATGGACTTGAAATTTCACTCGCGACAAGATCGGAACCCTAAACCTCAGATCTTATAAACCCTAAACCCCTAATCCCTTTACAGAACTCTTATAGTTCCCTTCTTACAGAATGTCATAGCTCCCTTTAGATTAAAGGAACCCTAAACCCCTAAACCCTATTATAAACCCTCTTATAGATCCCTTTATAGAACCCATATAGATCCTTTAAAGGAACCCTAAGCCCCTAAACCCCTACAAACCCTCTAAACTCTGTGAAGCTGGATGCGACCTCGGGGTCTACTCCGCCACGCAGAGGCCGGAGACGCCGCAACGCCCTGATGGCACAGAAATGATGGCTTGAGCAAAGGGTTCAAATCATGGGGTTCCTGTAAAGGGATCTATAAGCGTTCTTTTAAGGGGGTCCTTTAAGGGATCTATAGGGTTTTAGGGTTTAGGCTTAAGCAGAGGACCCAAGCAATAGTTTAGAATAAAGTTTGGGGGCCCGTAGATCTACAAAGTACCTACTCTGTAATGGTACTTGGACGCCTTAAGCATACATGGGGGAGTTTGCTTTTCTGCTTTGTGGTGTATCTAACTCCTACAAGGGGTTTCTGGCTTCTGCAACTCTGAAGGGGTCGTCAGAACATGGGCTATGCCCTGTAGCTTCCATATAAGGACCGCCTTGCGACACTCTGGAATCTCTCTCAAATTAAAGGTGTCGCTGGACGAATCAACCATGAGCCGGACTAACGCCAGAAGCATCATTCACGACGGCTGATACAGAAAAAGACTGTCCTGTCCGTTTCTAAGGCGGACTTTACCACAGCTCCCGTAGTTGGCTGTAGTTTCGGACACACGTTCCAAAGCTAATGGAGGCCTCTGTCCTTCGCAAGTACAGCAGCTGCGAAAATGGCCCTAAACTCTACAAAGCCTGAGAGGCCTCAGGTTGAGGGTTCCGCACCATGAAACCCGGCTAAGCCTTTCTTCAAAACTCCCTGGACACCCATAAACAAATCATAACGCAATAAGCCTAAACCATATGAGCACCATCATAAACCTCGACAGAATCATACAGCAAATGATACGCTCAAGACAGAAATTAATCCTGGAATCTGCGGTTTCCGACGACCCTCGACATCACAACTTGTAGAAAACTCTATAAACCGTACTACGCCCCTGCAGCCCTCAATCCTAGACTACAAACCTTGAAACACTCATTGAATCATCAAGTTTAGTTTTCTCCATCTGCCATCACCGTGATACCAGAGGACTCATTAAATCATCAAGTTTAGTGTTCTCCATCTGCCATCACCGTGATACCAGAGGGGTTGAAGTTCTGCTTCGCTTCAAACTGGGTTCTCTAAATGGAAGGGCAGGGGACTTAGTAAGTAGGTTATAAGTAGAGTTATAAGTCCCCTAAATGGAGTTACCCCAATTATAACCCTACTTATAACGTACTTACTAAGTCCCCTGCCCTTCCAAGTAGCGGTGTTCCGGTCCGGTCGCGTTGGCATGGCATGCAGTGCTTTACGGAGATGAGGGGTCATGGAGCGGGACCTTTGAAATTGGACTGGGTCGTGGCAAAAAATGCATTGGGTACTGCCCCCATACAGTAACAGTTGGTAATAAGGCTACTATTAAGGTCCGAAAAAAACTACATTATGAATGTTGTCCAACTGTTACTGAGTGGGGGCAGTACCCAAAGAATGCAGTACATTTAGCTTCGGAAGCACTATCAGGAAATGTCCTTTGAAATTATTTCACCTCCAGATTGGTCCGCCTAGCCGTATAAAGCCTAGGCCCTTATCCCGTTTGGGCCAGGACAACTCACAGTTGTAAACCCCAAGGTCCACGACCGACATGCTTCTTGATTTCCCCAGAGTAGGGTCTCGTTTGTTTCCCAGCACAGTGATATGTATACATGTACATACACATATACATATGTATGTATACATATATGTGTATATATATATATATATATATATATAGATATGTGTATGCTGGCTGAAGACCCCAAATCGCAATCTACGCAACAAGTCGTCGCTCGTTTTTAACAGTTCAGGGCGCACCCGAATGCTGAGTAGACGTTGTCGTGCCAACATGGCCGTGACCGTGGACAGGCACTCCTGAGCTCGAAGAGTGTGCTTGTGCTTTGGTAGGAGGGCCTTAATTATAAGAATAGGGTTCCTTTGAAGGGATCCTTAAAGGGTTCTATGAAGCATCTATAGTAGGGTTCTATAATATAGGGGGCCTTAATCATTAGAAAAGGGTTCCCTTAAAGGGAGCCTAAAGGGGTTCTATAAGGCATCTATAGTATAGGGTTCTACAATGTAGGGGCCTTGATAATTAGAAAAGGGCTTTAGGGTATTTTATACCATAACTACAACAAGGAACCCACCAAAATGGCATGGGTAATTATTAAGAGGGTTTGGAGCTGCAGGCGTGGTTATGGTTGTGGGTTTGGTGTGCGGGGTTGTGGATTGTAGGCCTTTGGGCTTATAACGTTTCAGGGAGGTAAAGTTTAGGTATAGTATATAGTATAGGGGGTCAACGAACCAAAAGCAGCGAGGTTTGTGCTTTGGGTTGTTTACTCAGGATACGCTGAAGACATGTAGTAATGGCTCACTGAACCTAACAGTCGCAGCACAAGCAGCAGACTTTGTGAAATGCTCATGCCAAACTCACAAGAATTGCATGCACAAGCCGCAGACTCTACACAGCCCAAGTCCAGAAACCAGAGAAGCCTTCAGCAGTTCCCAAATCCTACCTATAGTCTCCATTGTAGTTCCTTTGTCGGGTTACCTTATAGGACCCTAATTACATATTTGGTTAAACCAAAAAAAGGAACTGCAATTGATACTAGAGGTACAACCTAGAAACAACTCAACCCATCGAACCCTAAACTCCACATCAGACCAGACCTCCTACTACGACAGGGCTTATTCCCAAAAGCTCGAGAGCCCAGATCTCTCAACTTGAAAGCCCGAAGCCCCAAAGACTCCATGTGGCGGGTTTAGTGTTCGAGGGCTTTGGGGTTTTGGAGTTTTGGGGGCTTTGGGTTTTAGGGTTATGTGGAGTCTGACGGCGGGAGCCGCCATAACTAAACAGACTTCTGGGGTATATCTGTAACTATATATATATATATATATATATTTATGTATCTAGTTGATTGTATGAACGCTCTCAGGCCGTACTACGACTAGCCACTAGTTGTTAACCCAGGGAAGCTTCCTCGTACGTGCTTTCAGGAACTCTGTTCCAGTACAACCTTAAAGCCTTGGCAAAATCTAGGCAAGCGCCGAAAATCTAGGAATCACGCGGACTCTTCGCCATACGCACTGCATGCGAGTCCTGCAATGTATACCGTTTGAAGGTCTGGGCTTGTACTCAGGTACGACCTTGATCACCCGGCCTAATTCAGACCAGACTCAGCCCATGTCCTATGGAAACCTCGGTCTTTCGCCATGATGCAAGAGATACCACGCGAGTCCCTCCAAGCTCTCCGGATCCGCGGCCCTCTTACCTTCTTGGAGCAGTCTCTAAAGGTTATAGAGGGAGGTTCGAACTCGAAACTTAGGACATTTCCTTTTAAGGCATCTGCGTCCAACAAGTCGCAGTGCGCACTCCGCAGGCCTTAGGGACTACTCTGAGCCGTAAACGTAAGGCTGTAGCCGTAGGTTCAGTTATAACCTAAATTTTAAATAGTCGGTTACTAACCATATACTATATACCCCAGCAACCTACCATTTAGGTAACTGGAGCCCCAGGGCAGCCAAACATTATACTATAGTCATAATAAGGAACCCCCATACCAGTATAGGTAAGTATCAAAGCCCCGGGTTCGTCGTCACGGATCATCGTCAGGAAGCCTTGGGTCCTTTGTTCATGGGCCTAGGCTTTGTGGGCAAAAGGCCTTCCGGTGAAGGAGCTGCGAGTTTTAGGGGTTACAGGGTCTAGGCGGCGTAGGAGATTAGTCTAGGGCTTTCAGGAAGCCTTTAGCTTCAATGCTGCATATTTAGGAAAGTAATGTAACACTGTCTGCTGTTCTGAATGAGGTCTTGCCACCATGTCGTGTCAGCACTACCACTACCGATGTGTCTCGACGACTACTGACTACTACTCCCGCTCGTTCTCAGACTTTGTTAAAGTCGTCGTTATACGTTTTTAACAAGATACGATCTCCTGAACTCCAACTACGCCTCCCTGTATAGTCATAACAGTCGCCGCTCAACTAGAGGTTGAGATACGTGAGCCGCCTCAAGCTCACACTTTATCTTACAAGGACCCTGAGTTAACTAACCCTCCCAAGGACTTATATATGGGAAACTCGTTCTATGTGCAGGTTATTTGGGGTTCAGGTGGTCTTAAGCTCCGGAGGAATTACGCAAGCGGTATCAGCAACTCCGGCTTCATGCAGTGGCAGCCATGCCAACCTCATTTCTCAGGTTCCGAGCATAAGTTGAAACATATTGAAAGAGCTCTATATGCCTGCATGATGGTCAGAAGCCCATGCTTCGTTTGAACAGCTTCGAGCCGTAGGCTTCGTGGCATATAATACTAGAATTTAGAATCTATACGGGGGCTCTAAGGGGAGTGGTAATGTGGGCAGCGTGGACTGAGCACGTCTGGAGTTTAAGGAGCTGGAAAAGTACTGACTTTGAACACCAATGAGATGCCCCTGAGATGCCGCTGAAACCTATACAGACACTATCAACCCTAAGCGTACTCGTAGTACTCGGTATACACAAAGTATCCATATTCCGGAAGTATATTATAGTACCAATGTTGGAACAGAGAGGACACTTTCAAGAAAAGTCTCAGTACGCATAGAGTATCCCTTAATAATTTGTCTATATAGCATTATAGCAATGCTTAAACCGAAGCCTCAATTTTGGAACAGAGGGAGAGGGCCCTTTCGAGACATGTCTGAGTACGCATAAGCTATCCCTGAGTCCCTATAGTATTATAGCAGCCGTTCAAGGAAGCCTAAACTTGGAACAGAGAGGAGAGGGCCCCTTCAACACATGCACAGTGCGCATAGACTATCTATCCCTTGCCGATGTAACAGTACGATGGCAGCCTCAAAGGTGAACCCTCAATTGCGGGGACCCAAGGACCCAAAACCCTAAACCCCTCAACTTCGGAAGCCAAAAGCCATCAAAAGCCCTAAACCCTAAACCCCTCAATGTCGGAACCCAAGGGCCCCTTTCAAGACACGTCTCAGTAGGCATAGAGGAACAGCAAAGGATTCGCCGGGCGCACTTCTAGGAGCCTCAGAGCGATACCCGGGGCTGGGGCGTTTAGGGTGCAGGAGTTTGAGATTCAGGGTTTAGGGTCTGAGGTTTAGGGTTTGAGATTCAGGGTTTAGGGTCTGAGGTTTAGGGTTTAAGATTCAGGGTTTAGGGTTTGAGGTTTGAGATTTAGGATTAGGCGTTTTGGGTTTAAGGTTTGGTTAAGATTTAGGGCGTCGGGTTCGGAGTTGACGATTAGAGTTTACGCTTCAGGGTCAAGGGTGCTAGGTTTAGGGTCCAGGGTTTGCCCCGATCTCTACCTATAGTCTCCATTGTAGTTCCATGTTTTGGTTTAGCCAAATTTATAATTAAGATCCTATAAGGTCACCCCAAAAAGGAACTACAATGGAGACTATAGGTAATTAGGAGCCGGAACCCTGAAACTGAGAACTGTCCTGGACCCTAAAGAACTTAGCTTGTCAGGGGGTCCTTAGTATGACTTCCTTGTATAAGTCCTTGAAGAGAGGTAGGTTATTATTTAGAGTCCAGGTAAACCCTAAACCCTCCGAAACGAAAAGGACAAACTCAGCACAAAAAAACTACTCTTAGTTGTAACTTTCTATGCGCCGTCTAGGCTTTAGTGCTTTGGGCTTTAGGGATGTTTTTTTTGGTCTCTGCTGAGTTGGTTTGGGTTGCCTTCGGCTTCAAGCTTCGTTGCTTGATAGGGTTTAGGGTTTAGGGTTTAGGGTTGAGGGTCATGAAGTCTTAAGAGTCTTTGCAGCTGGAGATATTTTCAAAACCTGCGACTTCCATGCAGTCGCTGGTTAAGGTGGAAGACTTTCAGAATTCGGGTATAGGCATCTGGAAGTCGAAGATTCGGGTTTGAATTGGCTCACGGTTTGGGTTTGTGCTTCAAGGATTCAGTATGTAGGATTCTGATGTGTCCGTTGATGAGGATCTGGGTTTAGAGGTAGGGTAGTGCGTGGCATACAGCCCAAGCTTTGCTCATTGCAACATTACCATTCTTTACAACCTACAGCCCCCTATGCAAACCCAAACCCTAAATCCTGTAATATGAAATCCTCAACCCCAAATCCTAAACCTATGAAACCCTAAGCCTGAAACCCTAAATCATGAGATGCTTAACCCCAAACCTTAGACTTAAACACTAACCCTATGAAACCCTAGATCCTCTAAACTCCGTTCAGACAAAGAAGCACGGCCATGGCGTCCTTCAGGTAGGCAGCTGTCTCCGCTCGAAGGCCATCTCTCTCCATGGCTGTGAAAGGCTTAGGGTTCGTGCACTCAGAGAGACCCTACACCTTAACCCCTAAACCCTGAGCCTTACAGCGTATTCCTTAAACTGAAACCCTCAAGCACTAAACTCTACAACTCCATCACTTTGTTGGCTGAGGGCTGTTTTAGATGCAGGGACTATAACTGACGGATCCATTAACCCTGCACCGAAATATCGAATTTGACGCGAACGCCCCACTGCCTGAACTCAAGACCCCGAGACTCCAATATCCCTTAATTAAGGAATATTCCTTAAATCATATTAGGGATCCTACTATAATTTAAGGAATATTCCTTAATTAAGGGATATTGGAGTCGCTGGGGACGTCGACTCTAAACCCCGAGAATCGAGATGTCTCGTATCGTAGATAGTGGAATCCACAGTCGACTGCTTCCATGCCATGCCCTGCTCCTCAACTAGAATAGGGCTCCTTTAAAGGGTCCTTGAAAGGGGTCTACATGGGATCTATAGTACTAGTAGGGTTCTATATAGGGCCTTAATGATCGAACTGCTATCCGTGCTCCTGTTAATCTCACCGCCACTTTGGGGGCACCTTGCAGCCACAAGTTGAAGTGTCGTTCGCGGGCCGCACCTGTCTTTAGGACATGAAACCACTCTCGAGTCTGGAGTTCTTTCCTAAACTCCAATCCTTGTGTAAGGAAGGCCTCGCTGAACTTTACAAGGCACAAGCAGTCTGCAGAGAAGCACCCGTGCTTCGCAGAACCCGGATCGCGAAATCTGCCTTTCTCCGCAAGCAAATGCATTCGTGAGCGAACTGGCAATATCTACCTACACTTGCCGGTGCCATGGTCCTGGTGAGACTGGTAACTCAAATTAACTATAAGCCTAAGGGAACCATGGATGTTCTGCCATAAACCAACACATCTACAAACGCGTGTGTGTGTATGCATGTATGTGCATATATGTATATGCATGTATGCAAGCAGCCATCTCAAGTTCTACAGTATGTATACGCATGTGTATTCAGTATTCATTCATGTGCAATGGTATATCGAAACTTAGTACTGTAAGGCAGATGACATGTGTTTGTAGCAACACTTATTCGCGAAACAGCATTGCGTCCTTTCTGCTTCCACTTCGAAATTCGCCTGCAATGTAGATCCCGGAGGCATGAACCTTTAAACCTAACATCAACAACCCTAATATTCCTGAACATTCAACGTAGACTCTACGGCCTAAACCCTTCACCCTGAAGTCCGAAACCCTAAACCCTAGACGTTGAACACTACACCTTGAACCTTAAAACCCTAAACATTACACGCGGAACCTTAAACCCTAAACCACTAAGACACGAAGGAAGCCTACAGGAAACTCGCGGGGCCGGCAGGAGGCTCTGCTTGCCGCTCAGGCTCCTGAAGAGTTTGGGGCTAAGGGTTTAGAGGTTGAGGGTTTTAGTGTTCGAGGCTGTAGGGCTTTGAATTTGAGGGTTTAGGGATTGAGGGGCTAGCGCCTTGAGGGTGTATGTAGAGCTTTGAGGGTGTAGGGTTCGTAGTTTAGGGTTTATGTAGTGTCTATAGGGCTTATGGGGTTGCTTGGGGATCTTAGAGCCTTCGGGATCAGGAGGTGGAAACAGCAGTTTAAAAAAAGGGGCCTTCAGAATTAGAACAGATTTTTGGGGTGTATTATACTATAATCGTAATAAGGAGCCCCCCCTAAAATAGTGTAGGTCATTATTAAGGCCCCTGTATCAGTAGTACTTCGGGTTACAAGGCTACTGTGACGCTCAATCCCTGCACTCATACAACCTTGATTACAAAGTCCCTTTGAATGCTCAAGCTTGATTATTTGCCGGCTGAGCATTTTTGAAGAACGCGGAGTCAGAGAGTCACGGACTTCAGGCTCTGGATGTAGGTGGGCGCTGGGAACATTCAGCTTCTTACGAAATCAGTGTTGCATTTAGGGTTCAGAGGCTAGGTGAGCTTGAACACGGATAATCAACCTTCACTTAAAAGGCGAGATCTAACAGATATCGGCAAGTGCGCTTTTACCAGAGGTGCACCGGCATATCAAACCCTAACCCTAAACCCGGCACATCCGAGGCGGGGTTTAGGGTTGGGGTCTTGGAGTGCTGGATGCCCCACGTAATCAGTAGGAGCCGGGGCTTCTTGGAGCCGAGACCGATTCTTGATCAAGTTCGCCGTTTTGTACAGGGGCCTTAATAATTGAAAAAGGGGTTTTGGGGCGCAACACACTATAGTCATAAACAGGAACCACCAAAATTCCATTGGCAAGTATATTAATTCTTTAGGCCCCTGTATTAGCATCCGATCAGTCCTTTGCGTCCGCTTCGGTGGCCTCCTCCACAGGCTCTCCGCGTCTGCGGAAGGCGCGCAGTAGCCATTCAGCCTTTGTCGTTACTTGCCTTTGGTTAGTAGGGAACGAAAGAATGGTAGTAATAGTAGTTATAATTGTACCCCATTCCTCCATTCCCTACTAACCAAAGGGAAGGTTAAGGAGGCTGAGAGCTAAATGAAGAACGCCGTAGAAGCAAGATGCGGGAAATGATACCGTTCCATAAGCAGTCTTACAAAGACGTAAGTGGCTTTGGCTCCTGAATTCTACCCAAGTTTGCACAAGGATGCCAAGCTCCAAACTTCTCTGATTTGGGAAAAAGACTTCCTGGTTGGGCCCGGGATCGAAATTTCCTGATGCCAAGGACAATCAACAGTGTAGCATAATGTCGGTCTCTTAGTAACAAGAGCATTGTGTCGGCGTATACTCAAAATATTTGTTGAGTGGTCATTGTTCAAGCTTCTATGGTAGTCCCAATTTCGCAGGATAGTAGGCTCCTTGCTCTGACACCTACGCATACCGGTAGGTGAGTGAGGCGCACCCACTTTTGCATATCCACCTCAACAATGGTTCGATGAGAACTCAGCAAAGCACGCAGTGACGCCCTCTGAAACCCTAACGTCCGGCAAACCCTGGGCCTGAGCCCTAAGAGCACAAGCCCAAATCTCACGAAGTGGCTGTGGAACCCTCATAGACCCCTTGCAGTGACCCCAAAGGAACAGGCTCGGGTTGAGGAAAGAGGCCCTCGCCCTTACTCGAACCGAGCTCCCCAGGCTACTTAGAGGATCATGGGTCTTAGTAACTACCTTTAGCTACCAAAACCTATTGTTTTCGGGTCCCTATAAAGTCCATAATGCATATTAGGGTTTATAATATAAGAACCTACAAAAGGCAGGATTTGGTAGTCGAAGTTAGATCGATAAAATGAGGTACCTACACTTGTTTTTTCTTAGAGTCCCGATTAGGGTACTTATAACCTTACCTACTATGAATCCCATGATCCTCCAAGTAGAGTGTCTAAATCATATGTGGAGGACGGTTTAAGGCTTTTAGGGTTTGAGGTTTCGGGGGGGCTTGTTGGTGATTGGGGATTTATTGAAACTGCAGGCATTTGTGGCTCGTCGGGGTTTGAGATACAGAGCTTTGGGATTTAGGGCTTTAGGGTTGGAGCCTACTCCACACGCTCCCTAAACTTGTAGGCATAGCCCCATACGGGATGGTCGGCTATGACCTGCTGTTTCCTGCAGTATGACCCCTTAGAATCTTGGGTCGTCTAGGGATGAGGGTCGACAAACGGTGATATAGGGGCCTGAACACTTACCTATAGCATCCTTAATTATGATCACATGCTATAATATACCCCTTAAAACCCTAAGGGTCCATATACCCAAATAGTATATATTTTGGCCTTAAAGTCATCTCTATATCGGTACTTTGTGGCTCTAAGTATATACTATGTGGGCACATGGACCGTTAAGGGCAAGCAGGGCTCCAGTTACCTAACTAGTACAGGTTACTAACCATATATTATGTACCCCAGTAACCTACTATTTAAGTAACCGGAGCACTAGGGTAGTACAATGTACCCATTAGCAGGAAACCCATTACACTTACAAGTATTCTTGACATGATCATATAGTACATTATATCAACCTTAGAAGGAAACCGATTATGCGTACACTTTGGATTGCCGGGCAGCCAGGGGCTCGAAAGGCAGTGGTGCGAACGCACAGTGCCTCAGAAACTGCTCGCACTTTGGTCTTTTTGCAAGGGGTCTTAGAAGGGTGCAAGGGAACGCTAAACAATATACCCCTGAAACCTAAACCCCTAAATCCCTTAAACCTGCACCCCTAAACCGTAAACCCTAAAACCCCAAACCCCAAAACCCTGGGTTTAGATGGGGGTCAAGGCTCAGCACTTTGGGCTTGGAGAGCTGTGGGACAGGTCGTAGATGCGGGGCTGGTTCAGGTTCAGGGTTCAGGGTTGAGGGTTGGTTCAAGTATCCCGTTCATCAGCAGCTGATATATAATGGGATGAGCACCTGAAAGGGAAACCGAGTTTAAGACGGTTAAAAATGGGGGCCTAAAAACTTACCACTTTGGGGCTCCTTAATATAATGTGAGGTAGAGTGTACCGCTGTTCCAATGATTCAGAGGTCCCTATATTACCTTAGGCTATGCTGTTTCGCTGCTGAGACTGCCCTGCGATGTGAGGGTACGTCCCGTCCCGTCTGTCTTATGGCTTTGAAATTTGGTTTCGACAAAGAGCGCTCAGAACCTAGCTGTAAAAGCAATTTGGACCTAGCTTACGGCTTTGGTCACTCAGAAAGGGCACTGAGACTAGCAGTGAGGAGTAAGAGTCGAGTACTTGGAGGTTCATGGGTAATTTGTTATAAGTGGAGGTATAAGTCCCCTAATATGGGTTATAACTATACTTATCCTACTTATAACCCCACTTATAACTACCCATGAACCTCCAAGTGCCTAAAAGGTTTGGCTGAAAGCGGGTGGATGCCAACGTTTGGACACCTCCGCACACAGCGCCGACGATGATCATCAGGCGTTTGCAACACCACAGAACCCTAAACCCGAAACCCTATGTTTCCCAAAACTACAGACATTTACCAGCAATGAAGCTGCGATGATCCTGATGGCATCAGCCAGGCTGGATACTAATTTCTAAGACATGGCGCTTTTCAAGAAGGGTTCCAATCACGGGGTTTGGTGTTTTACGGTGTTTGTCAAAGTGTAATGCACCTTAAAAATAAGCACAGTTTACCGTTTAGGGTTTCGAACTCAAGGCAGCTGCATTGGAGCTTGGCCCAGTTGCGCCACAAGATCCAGCCACTTAGGGTACCTGTTGGTGCACTGAAAGCCTCTTAGTCACATTGCTTCTGGCTGACAGGCCTTGGGCACGGAGCTCTCCAAAGGGTTCCTATCCCTCCAAGGACCTCATAGTTAGGGCCCTAGACCCCTTAAGGACCATAATAAGGTTCCTAGAGGCATGGGGATACTTTAAGGGCTTCCCAAAATGGTCTCAGTTTCATCCGTGCTGCTTGAAGTACCAGTTGCCGTCCAGCAGATCAGCAGTCCTGTGGAAACGGCTCTGGAGAGACTCTGTCTTAGTTGCTGAGTTCATAAGCCCCAAAAGTGTACACGTCTAGTTTTGTAGTGGGTAATATTATCCCGAAAAGTGTAAAGTGTATCCAATCAGCTACTAGGCTGTGCATCATGCATGCTTGCACCACTTGCTGTGCTTCTTGGTATGAAAAGAAGCTTTCGTACTGCGGCGTGTGAATTCAGTTGTGTGCGGTTGTCTGTGTGTGTGTGGGTGTGTGCATGCAAACACTTACATGCATGCATACATGTATACATCCATGAACGCATACATACATAAATACATACATATGTACAGATATAATCCCTTAAGGGATTACATACATTCATACATGCATGCATGCATACATGCATACATACATACGTGCATGCATACATGCAGGCATGCAGACATTCACACGTACATCACTGCTCACCTGCTTATTTGCACACCCAGTACATGACCGGACATACATGTATACACATGCATTCATGTAGCAGGCCTGAACTAGTCAACACAATTATTCGTTTTGGTTGGAAACTGCGTGGTCGAACCAAAACAACGCAAACAACAATAGTCCTTGGGCCACCAACATCCACCCACGTGAAGCTTCAAAACCCACTCCCTTTCGAATCGACATCAGAGCCAGAACTGTTATGTAATTCCTAACCCCCCAAGCCCCCAAACCCTAAGCCCTAAACACTGAAAGCCGGCCCCAAGCCCGAAACCCACACAACCCAAAGCCCACAAACCCCAAGCCCAAAAACCCCCAAACCCTAAAGCCCTAAAACACCCTAAACCCTGGAACCCTAGCTACAAAGCCTAGACCCTAGAGCCCTAAAGCCCCAAACCCCAAAACCCTAAAGCCCCAAAACCACCCAAAACCCTGAAGCCCAAACTGCGAAGCGTAAACCCCTAAAAAAGAGCAGCTACGAACGGATCGGCTGGTCCTGGCCCAGGCCTTCTGCGACCGCTTGATGGCGTGGCAGCACCTGTCTAGTGCATAGATACAAAGAGTCAGTGATGGAGTTATAGATTGTTAGATACATAGAAAGATAGATATATAGCAAGATAGGAAGATATATCATCTGCATGTCACGTGAACATGCTTATGTATATCTAAATGTATATTCATATGTTTACATATATACCAGAATGAAAAATCGTTTATATACTAAGTGCTCAGACCCGCAACTTATGGCCGGCTTACAACCCAAGTATTGAGGTTTTCGGGTTTCGCGGAGTTAAGGCTCAATACAGGATGACAGTATTAGAGCATTACGACCAAGCCATTAATCATAGATTTTACGCTGATAAACCGCAAGCACCCAAACCCCATCCCTAAAGTCTTGAGCCCAAAACTGATACCCTAAACCCCGAAACCGCTACACACTATCACACCCCGGCTGAACCAAGTAATCATGCTCTGCACCTTCATCCCGGTCCATGAAAATTTCTATCTGACTTAGAAGGGGCCCCTGCCCTGTGATAGTGGTATAATACGAATATAATAGGGCCCTAATATAATCCTTATAGTCACTATTACAGGGTGGGGGCAGCTTCTAATATCTGACCGAAGTCCTGAAAACCAAAACCAGCATAGCTGAAGATCCGATTCGAAGGCAGGCCAACCGTCCTTGCAAGCCGACGACGCAGGGCTTAAGGGTTGGGGTTTAGAGCGTAGGGCTTAGGGTTTCAGGGTTTCAGGTTTGCAGGGTTTAGGGTTTAGTGTTCAGGGTTCAGGGATTAGGGTTTAGGGTTTCTTCCACTTCGAGATGAGCTGCTCCATGTGCTTGGCCAAGGCTTCCTTGTTCTTCGGCCCTTTTCCTTGGTGGGTTTACCAAGGCAAATTGTTGTTGGTTTATGTACTACTACCGGTACTAGTCCTCCTCCTCCTCCTCCTACTACTACTACTACTACTACTACTGCTGCTGCTGCTACTACTACTACTGCTACAACTACTAGCAAGCAATCGCGGCGCTGGCAGTGGCAGTAGTGGTAGTGGTACTGGTGGTTAGTGCGTACATTACTACTATCACTGCTACTGATGCTGAGACGGCCAGTGCTTCTGATATGAGTCCTGCGCAAGAGTAGCGGCAGTGGTAGTGGTAGTAGTGGTACCCGCAAATGATGGCAGCGAACATATATAAACAAAGGCGAAGGGTGCAGTTGCTTGGAGGAGCGGGTGTAACAGTAGCGAACCCACTTAGGAATTTAGGGGCTTGATCGCACAAACACTTCGTGCATGTGAACTGCAAAAACCAGTGTCTGTCAAGTTGCTGGCATTGTACCATGCAGATCTCGTGAAGTTGACCTTGCTGAGAAGGGAGGGACGGCGTCTTTTGCGAAAGGTTGTGGGCTGACAAGAGCTTCAAACACAACAAGAACTACTACTACTACTACTACTACTACTACTACTACTACTACTACTACTACTACTACTACTACTACTACTACTACTACTCCTGCTGCTACTGATGCTAGTACGAGTACTAGTACTAGTACTACTAGAAACGACGACGATGATCAATGATGTCGGAAACTCATGTTCCTCGTCATGCTCATTTCGTGCAGTGCCCCGTCGTCGTCGCTGAACAGCGGTAGCAGTAGAAGTAGCACTAGTAGTGGTAGTTGCAGTATCAGTAGCAGTCGCAGTAGTCGTAGTAGTCGTAGTAGTAGTAGTAGTAGTAGTAGTAGCAGTAGCAGTAGCAGTAGCAGTAGTACTACTACTAGTAGTAGTAGTAGTAGTAGTAGTAGTAGTAGTAGTAGTAGTACTAGTACTACGGTTGATGGAGGAAATCTTGCACCATCTGCCTAGTAACAGGTGACACGACACTTGAGCATAACCCCGCACCCCCTTCGTAACATTGAAGATGATGGATACGGAGGTGGTGCAAGATTTTTGTCATTGGAACCCGCGGCACGTCCGAGGATCACCGGTCAATGTTAAAAAGGGGGCGTGGGGTGTCTGTTTGGTTTGGCCACTTAAACTGGTGCAAGATTTCCTCCATCAACAGTAGTACTAGTACTAGTACTAGTACTAGTACTAGTACTAGTACTAGTACTAGTACTAGTAGTAGTAGTCGTAGTAGTAGTAGTAGTAGTAGTAGTAGTAGTAGTAGTAGTAGTAGTAGTAGAAATAATAACAATATTGTAGTAGTAGTAGTAGTGATAGTAGTCGTAGTAGTAGTAGTAGTAGCAGTCGTGCCGCCACTACGAAGACGATGAAAACGATCAATGCTGTCCGTACACTGATGCTCCTCGTTCTGCCCATTTCCTGCAGTGCCCCTGCATCGCCATGAGTTGAGTTGGCCGGTGAGAATTCGATTTTTCATGATGGGTAGGGTAATGTTCAGACAGGTGTGCCGAGGCCTGTGCCAGCCGAGGGCGGAACGCCACTACACCCTTTTGCGGCCAGCAGGCAATGACGAGTCCCTCAACATCTGGACAGCGACTTACTACCCCAAGAAGCCACAGAAATAAAAAGTTAAACTTTCCGATTCCTACTCAACTATAAGAACCCAACAAGTTTAAAGGTTAGGTATTGGGGATCTAAGCCGACTTGCCCTCGGGCATATTCATATCCGTTGAAAGTTACTGCATGCAGGTGCACCACCTTTTGCTTCAAAGCCCCACGCCCTTCAGCCTTCAAATCTTCAAGACTGGAACAGCTTCGGGCCACCTCAGGGCACGGACGCTCCTGCTGCAGGCATCCCTCCTGAAGTAGGTCGGGCCGTCTTAACATGAAACCCTGCGTCTTTCAGCATATGAAGGGTCCAAACCATGGAACCCTCAACTCCGGAACCCTGCCTTCCCAAAGGGTCCAAGTGCCATTACAGTAGGTACTTAGTACCCTAAAGTACATACTATATGGTTACTTGGACCCTGTGGGCTTTACACTACAAAACCCGAGCACCGTGATGAACGTCTGCCCTCTCAGTACGTATAACCGCTGAAAAAGATCCAACACACTGGCACTTTATCGGGGTGCGCGGAAACTGTACAGAAAGCCTGCCGATCTGCTTTCTTGGAACCAAGCAGTGCTCCCAGGAAGGAAAGCCCGCGATCTCTGAATCCAGACGACGAAAAACCCGAAACCATCGCAGACTTGAGTTCTAGCGGATTCGATTGGCAGGGTGCAGAAAGCTTCCATGAAGGTTTCAGAACGGCTTCTGATGAAACGGGCTAGAGGGGTGCTATGAAGATCCAAGCCCTGAACCCTAAATCCCGGATTCTCAACAGATTCACTTAGTTGCTGAGTTCACAAGCCCCAAAAAGCGCACACTGTTAGTTTTATAGTGGGTAACATTATCCCAACAAAAACTTGAAAGTGCATCCACTCAGCTACTAAGTTCAAGAAGGCAGCCCATAGCCTGGAAGGACGAGGCCACGGTGGACCGCGGCTGTCGCAGGTGTGTCCCTCCTGGCTTAGACAGTAGGTATTGCACCAGCTTATAAGGGTTTATAGGGTGTTGGGTTTAGGGTTTAGGGGTTTAGGGTTTAGGGTTTAGGGTTTGGGTTTAAGGTTTACGGGGTACTACCTGGCAAAGAGTACCCTAAACCCCAACACGGAGTCCTAAATTTAAGTTTCAAGTCTACATACTCTGCAAGGATACAACAACACAGCCGTAAAAGTATGTGATTTAGGGCTTAGGGCGTGTGGTTTAGTAGTCTAGGGTGCGCATATATATATATATATATATATATATACATACATATACATATTATCATGAGAGATAGTCAACAACTATCATCCTTACAGTGCCTGTAATATACCCCGCAGACCCTAGATTATGCACCATACAAATCTATCTTCATTGCTATGGGGTTAAGGCGAATGAGCGAAAACGGGAACAGGCTCCTACAGAGTTCCTGCAGGCGATCCTTTTAGGTTTCTTTTCAAGGTTCATTTAGGGTTCTAGGGTTCTGTAGTGGGGGCTTTGGGGATTAGGGGGTAAGGGTTTAGCTAATTTGGCGGGTAAGGGCAGTTTATAGATCCTGCGTACTTTGATTGTTTCGACAACCGCCGCTAATTCAATCCACCCCCCCCGCCCCAAACAGTCTGTGAATATAGGGTTCCGGGATTCAGCCTTTTACACACAACATAACCTTCCAAAGCTCCAGAACTACAATCCTATGCCACCTCCAGCCTAAGTTCCAAAGCCCACCGTGACCCACTGTCGGGCCTATAGACAGGGTTGCATCGCCATCTGCTGGCCATGCACCGGGCATTTTGCCACGGCAAGCAGTCCCGGATGAACAGGGGCACGGGACTTCAGAAGGAAGATGTTAGGGTTTAGGCTCAAGGCAGTGGGACGCGTCTGCGAGGGTTGCAGCTGCACGAGCTTTCGACAGGCGAATCCAGGAAAAAGTCTCGTATCCATGCTTCCAGACTCTGCTAATGTTCGAGTTGTCCTAGCACGAGACAGTCATGCATCAACTCATGTGACAGCAGCTACATTGCTTGCGCTATGCAAGGTCGTGTAAGCTGGGTCACGGTAGTAAACTAAAACACAGGCTTCACTACAGTTAGAGATCTCGAACCAAGCCCATGTACACGCCACGTACATGCCAGTTTCGAATCTTTCACACCCGGTCATGTACAAAACACCCAACCCAGGATGGCCGTGTGCATGCACGTCTGTATGCATGTATGTGTATATACATGTGTGTATGTGTATATATATATATATATATATATATACACACAAATTATAGACACACATACACACATGTGGGGCCCGAATACCTACCAAGTACCTACTATAATGGTACTTGGACCCTATGTGCAAGCGTGAGTGCATTTACGACGAAATTAGTACTCATGCTGACTATCGACACGAAGATGGCCACGCGAATGATGACGTTGCTGATGAAAATGGTGTCGATGCTTATGCTTTGTTGTCCACTGGTTGTTTTAGATGCTGTTGACGTGAAAAATTGTTGTCGATGTTGTGGTGATAACAAAATTGGTATGGGGATAATTCAAAGGTGGCCATGTGCGGGAGAACCATAAACCTTGCAAGAGTCTTGCAAGTATTGTGGACGCACTGCTTGCTGAGACTTCAGCAGTGCCTTTATAGGGTTCCGAAGCTGGTGCATTCAATCTAGTATCAAGCTTTTATATGCTCAGAAAAGCCACGCAACACATCAAATTTAGCATTGGGGCGAGTCCTACAACCCCAAAGGGTCAAGTCTATACTTATAGGGCATTTTGGGTGTCTAAGTATATACCATAATGATACTTGGACCTTTGGGAACACGGTAAGCCGAGTGCATTTTCGTCGCTTTGACTCGCACTCCGGGCAGCGACATACTTCCGGTCCTCGCAGGAGGCGACTCAGGGCACTTAGGGGCTGTACTTGGAGGATCATGGGACTTAGTAAGTATGGTTATAGGTACCTTAACTGGGGCTATAAGTATTTATAAATATAGTTTATAACCCTAACTACTAAGTCCCATGATCCTCTAAGTAAGGGTTTACGGGTCTAGCGCTATGGTGTTCTAGGGCCGTTTAGAGGGGTCCGCGAAGCCCGACCCTGCTAAACCCTAAAACTCATGGGCCGCCATAAACTACCTACAGTCTCCATGGTAGTTCCTTTTTTTGCTTGACCAGTTTTATGGTTAGGATCCTATAGTATAGACTTTGGTTAGCCAAAAAAGGAACTACAATGGATACTATAGGTAGTTCCGAAAATCGTACCGCGAGCCCCGACAGACAAAATGCCAAACCCTGAAACCTAACCCTAAATCCCTTACAACGCCGGGACGAAGCTACTATTCGACCCTCGAAAACCGTCGTATGAGCCCATCAAACAGCCCTTTAACGCCCCACACCCTGACTAATGCCCTGCACAACATAGGGGCTCGATTAGAACTGGGTGTTGGAGGGTCAGTACACATAGGGGAAACTATTCTTACCCACTAATTGGGTATTTCCGAAAATTAGGAATACCTTACGACCTTACACGAAGGATCCCAGTATTTAGGGTATTATATCAGGGTCCCCTATTTCCGGCAACTCCCATTTACTTGTAAAACAGTAAGACCGAGCTCCCGGCCACCTCGCTTTCAAGGGCCCAGACCTCCGGATAGAAACCTCGAGGAAGAAAGTTGGGGGTTTAGGAATGAGGGTTTAGGGTTTTAGGGGCTAGCGGTTTAGGGTTTAGGGTTTTCGAGGTTTAGGGTTTAGGGATTGGGACTTAGGGTCCGGAGTGGGCCGTTCAGGGCTTTGGGGGCAAAGTGGTGCGTGGCTTTTGCAAGGGTTGTGGAGGGTGCTTTGAATGTGTTCGGGCTTTCCAAGGGGTGCCTAAGGCTTCTACTGGGCCTTGTCAGGCGGTTCGGGTTTAGGGCCTCTAGAACTCCAGGGGTTAGGCGGCGGTATGCCGATGCAACGCAAGATCAGCATCAGTCGGTTTCAGGGATTTCATGGCTTCAGGCTTCAGGTAGGAAAAGAGTTAAAAGGGTCAAACAGTATTGAACAGAACAAAACAATAGGAATAGCAAGCACCAAAACAGACTAAGTAAGACAGCTTGTCACCCGTGTTTGAAAGACAGCCGTACCCTGAGATCCACCTTCTGGAAGCAGGAGTAGGAGTAGGAGCAGGAGGAGGAGCAGCAGTGCCAGTAGCAGTACCAGCAGTAGTAGTCGTCGTCGCCGCAGCTTCTGCGGTCGCCGCAGCTTCTGCTTTCGCTGTTGTTGCCCCTATTACACTGCTTCCTGCTACTGCGGTAAACTGCAGCTGCGACTGCAAAACGCAACTACTTTCACGACTAGTCCTGCTACTATTACTCCTTTGCCTGCCCCTACACTTACACCAGCAACACCAAAAACACCACTAACAACAACTACACCAGCACCAGCACCAGCAGAGAATAACGGTAACAATAACAACACGAACAGTAATTATAATTAGTACAAGTACAAGCGCAAGTGCAAGCATAAGTACACGTGCTGGCGGCACTAGCAGATTCAGGCATACTTCTACACATTCTGTGAATCTCTTGCCAGACCAAGCTGCGTTTCGCAAGCTCCTCGGGTGACGCTTTCAAAGGGCACCTAGCAAGAAATGAGTGGGTTGGACCGTCGTGGTTAACAAGCTATTCGAAGCATTATGCTATAATTACAATAAGGAACACCCAAAATAGTATGGGTGAATATTAAGGCCCTTATTGTAAGACCACATCGGCTTGGGATAATGCGGCAAGCGGAAACCTGGCGAAGCAGATCCTGCTTATGCAGGACCCTTCGAGCACACAACACAAGAAACAAGGTTTCAGATCTACGGACGCAGTTCAAGGCCGAAGACAGGCAACCTTGTCACCAAGGTGTGTGTGTGTGTGTTGGTTGTGTGTGTGTGTGTTGGTTGTGTGTGTGTGTGTTGTGTGTGTGTGTGTGTGTGTGTGTTTGTGTGTGTGTCGTGTGTGCGTGTGTTTGTTTTCTAGCCGTCATTGGAAAGTCATAACAACACAACCATTTTGCGACAGGACAATGATACAACGGGGACCCCTTCAGGCACTACTTCGAGTCAATCAACGAAACGCGGAAAATGCGAATGTTCCGAGGCAAACCTCTCCAAGACGACCTGCGAACGAAGCCCTATGCACAGCCTCACGGCTCTAAACCCTGAACCACGACCCCCCAATGGCCCTTAAATGCAGCCCTTATGGTCCTTAATAGTGGGTATTTAAGGTATATCAGCGGGTAGTTGGGGGGTCTAAGACTTGAAAGTCTACACCCCGCAGCTTTAGGTCTTCTGATTCCCGCCTGCCCTCGGTGCACTTGGCAAAGTCGCGGCAGCGCTGCCGCGCCGGAACGGCCTGCAAACAGACACATAGGGTGTAGGGAATTCCCACAAAGGTCCAAGTATCCTTACAGTAGGTACTTAGTAGGTATTTGGGCCCCAGGAGTATATACTATACTATTACTTGGAGCCTTTGGGATTGCAAGCCTGAAAAAAACAAAACAAACAGCTGCCCAAACAGTCACATACATAATTCTGTTGTGTTGCTTTTTGGAAGAGGTGAACGTGAAGGAAGGGATTATAGGGTGGCTACTGCAGCCGATTTGGGTTCAATCCAGGCGCGGGAAGAGGAAACCGCGCATAACCTCCGTGCGCCTCGCAAATATTCAAGCCGGCCTGAAACTGGCTGAGTCCCTGCCTACCCACCCTAACTCCCGAACACATTGAATGGGATAGATTATTATAAGGGCCTAAAGCAATACTGACACCATTTTGGGGGTGCCTTAATTACTATAATAACTACAGTACCCCCAAACCCTGTGTCGATTGTTAAGACCCCTAAACCCTAAACCCTAAACTCTAAACGGTTTAGGGTTTAGGGTCACCCTTCCCCCTGAACTATTGAAGTTGATCTTAACGGATCCCCAGAACCTCGAAGCCTGAAGCCAACATTCCTAAGCTCCAGAGCTGACCCCCGAAAAAACAAACAACAGTTTAAAAAGGAGAAGCCCGACACCGACCTCTGAACATTCTGCAAATTCGAATTTAGGACGCAGGGAGGATCGGCGGGTTGAGGGGAACACGGTATTAAGGCCGACCAGTACCTCCAACGCGTTATTGTCAAGCTCCTTCCTCTTCTTGCTTGCGCTACTGTTGCCCGAATCTTGCCACTAGGATCTTACGACAGCATTATTTTCGTGACCATGACAAGAGTTGAGGGTCTAGCTAGGTTCCGGATTAGAGCTTATTATGTGGGTGTCATCCTCTGCTTCACATACAGTCAGGCTCCTGTGCTAAACTAGCTGGCGGCCTCCGACCAGGACTCGTTGTTCCAGAAATCGTAGAACCTTCGATTGCAGCCGGGGGACCGATTGAAAGCTTTTGCAATGTGCTTTGCTTCCTAGTTAGTTGCTGAGTTCACAAGCCCCAACAAGTGTACACTTTCAGTTATATGGTAGGTATTATTATACCAAAAAGTTTAAAGTGTATCCACTCAGCTACTAAGAAGAGTTCTAAAGTTCAGAAACCTGTTGCGCACAATACTAAACCTCGAAGCAAGGAAGCTTACAACAAAGCTCTCGAGCACATATGCACTGTGATCCCGGTGCGATGAATGATGGGCTGAAGGCCTGACATGAAAGCAACCGACAGGCAGATCGTCCTACACCCCGAGCCTCCCCCAACCTTGAACCTTACACTACTCTACCCCTTTTTTAGGGTACCTAGGTTTATGGTTAGGTTCTCTTATACATAGAAAGTAGGTACATAAAGACAGGGGTACGGTATGACCCTATAGGTATGTAATTGAAAGCCTACACCTGCAACCCCCCAACCCTAACCCTAAACCCTATCGACCTTCAATGCCAAGCCCAAACCCTTCACCTTGAACTTGATTAGTCATAGAACCCTACCATACAGCCCTTATAGACCCCTGTGCAACAGGAAACCTTTAAGGGAACCCTACTTGGAGGATCATGGGACTTAGTAAGTATGGTTATAAATACCTTAATTGGGGTTATCAGTAGTTATAAGTATAGTTACCCTACTTATAACCCTAGTTACTAAGTCCCATGATCCTTTAAGTATTCTAAATATTAATTAAGCAGTATCTATCGGATCCCACCAGCTGCAGCCATGCGGCAGATACCGGGGATCCTGTCAAGAATCCCAGGCAAAGCAGTTCCATACTAATGCCGAAGAATCCTATATATGTGTATATATATATATATAATACTGTAGAAGGCGAAAGCGGCACTATACCAGTACTAATTACAATACTGCAGTATGAGTACTATACAAATAACAGCTTACCAGTACTAGTGGAAAAGCTGCAGAACGAGTACTATACAAATAACAGCTTACCAGTACTAGTGGAAAAGCTTCAGTAGTACCAGAAGACTGCTTGAGTCATACAAGAAATAACTATAAAACATACTGCAAAAATACTCTGCTACAGTAATTCTAGAAACTGTTGCAATTTGATTGATCAATATAGTGCGTTGCAGCTTGTCTTCAGGACTGCACAGAGAACATGAACGAGGTTGAGCCTTTCAGGGCAGAGGCTACAAAGAAGCGTGAACCCCAATGACTTTCCGAATCTACAGTCCCAAAGGGTCCAAGTATCATTGTGGTCTATACTTATTGGGTATTTGGGGGTCTAAGTATATACCATAATGATACTTGGACCCTTTGGGAGTGACCCTGACAAGGAACACGAGACGCGAGTCGGTCGAAAGACGCACCACCAATCCCTAAAACTTAATCCTGAAACCCAAAGAATCTAGCGCTTGAACCCTTGATTTCAATATGATTGATATCGAAGCCTCTCTAGTCAGACAGTCAGACGATGATCCTTAAGGATCTTTATACCATGAACACGCTCATGAGGAACGGCGTTGCGAATGATTCCAGCGCCCTGACCGACAACGTATGGCCGAGACCCTCAATGCAAGCGGTTTTCGGGTGATCTATATAGATTTAGCGTTCTAAGTTTTAGGGGATGGGGTTCAGGCTCTCAGGTGTCCGTAAGCCTCAAACCTTAGATTTTACTTCGTGGACCCCAATCCCACTCCCACCTCCGGAAAAAGCATGCACCAGGGCATGGGCACCTGAATCCGAGACCAGTGTGAGGGCTTTACTATACTGAACTTAGAACCCTAGCAAAAATCAACAATTTCGCTGTTTCTTAGGGATGATAATAAGCAAAAATTAAAAGTTATTTCTATTTGCCCCTAAGTTTAGTACCTTGGGATGATAGCCTCTGCGGCCTTCAGGGGCGCAGGATTCAAAGGATGGGAAGGCCGCCGTCTTAGAGGGTTCAAGTAATGGCATAGCATATGCCTCTGCGGACCCAAATATCTGGTCCCAACAAACCCTGCTACATTTCAAGGGACTGGTCTCTGGCGCTGGGGAAATATGTTGCAGTCCCTGGGTTTATGAGTCTAATATAGGGGCCTTAATAATTAGAAGAGGGTAGTTTTGGGCCCCATTTTGCTACAGAATAAGGAACCCCCAAAACCGTAGAGGTAATCATGTGGGCCCCTATGTTAAGGTTCGCGGCTGTAGAATTAGAGATCAAGAGCTCTAAGCCCTAGACCCATGTACACCCTAAACTCAATAAGTCCTATTCTAAACCCTAAACTCCTCAACCATTACAAACCCTACAAACCCTACACCCAACCCCTTACAAACACTAAACCTGAACTAATGGCTTCAAGATCTAACCTATAAAGTTGGTATACCATACACCCTACTATAGACCCCTTGAAGGATCTTTAACGATCCCTTTCAAGCGAGCCCATTAAGGCCCCTAGGCCTAGATTCTCGAGCTTTCTGCGGATTGGGATCAGAAGCTCAGAGGCTTCGGGGTCGGGATGAGCTCGGGGGGTTAAAGGGAACTCCAGAAAGTTGGAATATGGAACAATGGCAGGATCCCCTCTAATTTACCATAAAGGGGTTAGGATAATCATATTCCAACTTTCTGGCTTCTACTGTAGGGTTTAGAGTTTAGAAAAGGTTTAGGCTTGAAAAAGGGTTTAGGGTTTAGAAAAGGTTTAGGGTTTTTAAAGGGTTCAGGGTTGGTAAAGGGTTTAGGGTTTATGAGGGTTTGGGATTTAGGGCTTCTAAGGGTCTAAGGATTAGGGTTGATAAGGGTTCAGGGGTAAACTTCGGTGCAGAAGGGTCCCGACCTGAGTTGGTGGCCTACACCGCTTTCGCTTGCTTGGTACCATCATACGAAAAGGCACACTCAAACCCTAAACAACCCTTCACCGAAACCCGGCACTCTGGACTCCATAACCTGAGAGCTCTAAGCTCTACCACAGGCCCTACACCCCTAAACAATCTTAAATTACACCCTTCGATAGGTTGGCTAGTAATTGTCCGAAGCTGCTGTGCATGTTGCATATTGAAAGCTACCTTCTGGGTGTAAAGGCTTCATAGAGCAAAGCCGGCTGCTAAACATTGCTATAAGGGTTGCTGACGTACGGCTTCCTTTCGCGTTGCTAGAGTGGTGGTAAAGGCTACTGCAAGAGTTACTGCACAAGAGCATGACTGCAAGGCTAGTTAGGATGTTTAAAGAGCGTTTATAAGAGTTTGTAGGTACCAGCAGGTTGGGTTTCAGATTGAGCTGGGTATCCAGGTTCCACAAGTGAACCGTGAATGCTGCACTGGTAAATTTTCAGTCGCAGCACGAAGTCTTTGCCGCGATCCCCGGCGAAAACCCTAAACCCTAAACCCTAAACCCTAAACCTTAGCAACTATAGACCCTGAGGCCTCTGAATCCTTTAGATTAAAGGATCAAAGCGGAAAAGGAGTGACCCTTAATGGGGACCCCTACCCTATAATGGGCTATAGAATGGGTATATAATGGCTATATTAAGGGTATATTACCTAGGGGTCCTCGTTAAGGGCCCCTCCTGTTCCCCTTGGAAAGGAAAAACCGAAGAACGCCCTTGAGCTCCATAAGCCCCTAAGACCCCTGAACAGCTGACCCTGAACCCTAAACCATACAAGCCCCAAACCTTGAAATCCCTCAAAGTCTAAGCCCTAACACCCTGAACCCTTAAACCCTACGAGGTCCCTAAACTTTAAGCCTTTAATAGGGCCCCCAAAAAGAACATAAGCACAACTCAGGATAGGGATGTCTCATATAAGTCCCCGTATAGTGAAGCCCAATAAGGTAGGGACATCCCTATAAAATGCTGATGCTTATGTCCCTTTCAGATCCGTCGTATACACACACCCAAAGGAGGAGCCCGCAAAGCCCTGCCTGGCCAGGCAGAAGCGGTACGAACACTTTGGAGGCCTCCAGCACACACACACCCCGCCGCTATAGGTTCAGGGTTCACCGGTAAGGGCTTTAGGGGGTAAGGGTTTCGGGTTTAAGGTTTAGGGTTTTAAGGTTTTAGGGGTTTAGGGTTTGCGGGTAAGGGAGTAACCGTTGTACCCAGCGATACAGGGACATCACCCTACCAAACATATACATTAACCAGGTTCAACGTACCTTGGTTACTCGAAGTAGAACATCGGGTTTAGATTTTGGGTTGTCGTGTGCTGAGGGACAGGCTGGATCGAACATTTGAACATTTAGGGTTTAGGGCTTGAGGGCTGTGCAGGTTGCTCTTTTGACGGAAGCCCATGGTCACGATTGCAGTCTACCTGCCAAGATTTTGATGTCACATCCCCTTGTCAGAGGTATCTTCGTGGCTCTGGGTAAGACTAAAGCATCGCAGCTCCCCTGACGTTTGGATACTGCCCCCATACACTAACAGTCTATAATAGGGCTACTATTAAGGGCCTAATATATCCATAATAAGAAAATTATCCAACTGTTACTGAGTGGGGGCCGTATCCAACCTGACCTTTACAAGAACTAGCACCCGAAGCTCAGCTTCAAGAACTCAGGCCGGCGAACCGAAAATTCCCGATCCTAAAACGCTAACCCTCAGGGTCCAAGTACATGATAATCATATACTCTCCAAAATCCTAACCTACATAACTACTATCCTAAAACCGAGTACCTAATTATTGGGTCTTTTGGATCCTTAGGGTAACAACCTAAACCCTAAACACCTAAAATCACATCACTTAAACCCCGCAGCCCAGCAACCCTAATCTCCTGAAGCCTAAACTCTCCAAACAATCAACACCAAAACCTGCGAACCCAAACCCGTAAACTGAAACCCTAAGGGTTGAGGCACCTACTCAAAAAGAAACTCTCCCAAATACTACGCGAGAAAACTACTAACTACTACCCTACACCCACATACCAATGAGGTCCGATAAATCCGTGAGGTAAACCGGTAATATAGGGGCCTTAATAATTGCAATAGGGTTTCGAGGCCCATTTTACGATAAGGGTAATAAGGAACCACCAACATAGCACAGAGAATTACTATTCAGACCCCTACATTCCAGAACTCTACCATAGATCAGACCCCTTGTCGACACTTTTAAAGGAACCCTTTAAAGGAACGCTACAGGTAACTATTTAGGCCCCTACATTCCCGCCCCCCTTCCACAAAAAAAATATGTATATCTATATATATATATATATGTGTATATATCGAAGACACCCAATGATCTGGCCCCTCCTCGCCGAGAAAAGCAGCCCACCATGCAAAAGTGCCTGAGAACACTTCGAGGATCATGGGACTTAGTCAGTCTTATTAGCTGCTGAGTTTATAAGCCCTAGAGAGTGTACGCTTTCTGCTTTATGGTGGGTATTATTGTCCCAAAAAGTTTAAAGTGTCTCCACTCAGCTACTACGAGGGTTCCTTAAAGGGCTCCTTAAAAGGGATCTGTAAGGGTTCTATAAAAAGGGTCTTAGTGTTACTTATAGGATCATAGGACTGAATAACTAGCGTTACTTATGCTTACTTATACCCCGTCGGTACTTATTACCATACTTACAGTCCTCCAAGTATCGGGGCGTTCATGTGGTTTTGTACGGGCTTTATGGGTTTTACACGGTTTTACTGGCTTTATGGGTTTCATGAGCGTTTAGGGCGTTGTGAGGGGGGCTTTATGGTTCTTTACCTATATCATCAGGAATTCTTTTCGGAGCCTGAATGTTACGAACATGGCTTTGGAGCAGGGTCTGTCGCTTCGAAATGCATGAACAGTCGCTGCTACCCCCTGAGATACGGAATTCTGCTGCCGATGGCTGAGCCCTTTTGCAGTTTCACGACTGCAGGCAGTTGTACTGATTCTTTCTGTCTGCCTCAATGGGGGGAACTCCGTAACCAAAAGCAATTCGTTTCTGGGTTCTGATTGAGAACCTGGTCTCACCCACCCAATGACAGGCAGGTCTTATGTGTGTGTGTGTACATATATATATATATACACACACACACATACACTACGCGATCTACATAGCAATATATGTCGACTTACATTACATACATGTACATATATATATATATACATATTTATATGCATATAGATATGTGTGCATATATATATATATATATATATATATATATATTCGGAGAGCTTTCATTATTGTTCTGGTGACTCCGAATAACACACATTGACAGGACTCTAGCTTCGCGCACATCACGGTGCTCTGCTTTGTGGAAACCCATTAAGGACTGCTCAACAAGCAATGCCTGAAGCTTTGAGCCCAAAAGCGTTTCACTAGGATTTCGTGTGCCGAAAACCAGATCTTTAGCAAGTAACCGGCACCGAACAAACTCACAAGTGTCATGCGCCCATGGATCCATATGCGAGTTTTCGAAAATAGGGGACCCTAATATAGGACCCTAAATGGTAGGAGTAGGATCCTTATTATCAGCACCCCAAGATAAAGTACCCCGAATTTTCGGAAACTCCTAAACCCTAAACCCTTTGTAGAACCCCTATAGATCCCTTTAAGGCTCCCTTAAAGGATCCCTTTAAAGGTACCCCTATAATTTTCGGAAAACTCCCATATCGGAAACCTGAACCCTAAGCCTCCCGGAGGGCTTGGAGCGGACTCAAAGTTTCAGGGCCGAACAGAAGTTTTGTACTCTCTGTGGCTATACGAAAGTTTCCGAAAATACGGGGCACCATAGTTTGGAGTCCTTATAATAAGGATCCTACTATTTAGGGTATATATATATATATACACTATATTATGGTCCCCTAATTCGGAAACTCTCATACAAGGACCTTGGAATAAACAGGCTGAACCCCCTTGCAAAGCAGGAGCTCGAAATCCACACCACCACCTCACCCGTCGCACCTCAAGCCTAAAAGCCTTGCAAGCAATCAGCCGCTCGCGGGTGCAACCAAAAGGCTGGGAGAGATCGCAACTTTGGTGGCCGCGCGCAGCCACACGAAGTCCCCCAACCAAGCTTGTTTAGGAACCTGCTGGACAGACAAAGACCTAAAGGGTCCCAGGTACCCTGATAGTAGGTACTCACTAGGTATTTGTGCCCCAGGAGAATATATATATATATATATATATATACTAATTCTACTAAAACACGGACCCTTTGAGCGACATCCCTGGAAGACCGAGATGGATGGTGGAAGTTCTCCATGACCCAAGGCGCATCTCTAGACTCTGGGACAGGAATATATAGGGATTAGGGGTACCTTATTTTGGGGTCCTTAGCATAAGGATCCTACTATTTAGGGTACTATATTAGAGTCTCCAGAGAGCCCAAGACCCCTGAATATGCAGGACAGGTGGACACGGGGCTTCAAAAAGTTCGTGTCTTTGTCCAAGGTTCAGGCTGTAGTTTCTGCAGTGTTAGTTGTATCGGGTGGCTTAGTCACTGAGTTCATAATCCCCAAAAAGTGTACACTTTTAGTTCTATAGTGGGTAATGTTCTCCCAAAAACTTAAAGTCTATCCACTCAGCTACTATAAGGTGGAGGGCCCAGGGTTCGGGACGTTTGAGAGTTTGCTACATGGTGCACAGGAGCTGGGATTTGCCTTCGGTGCACAAGGCCTTGACCCTGATGGCACCCAAACTTGAGCACCGGCAGCCCAGAATCCACCACTCTTGGTATGTTCTGTGCATTTCTCTGTCGATTCGCTGGCACACACTACCTAGACCCCCCCAAGCACCCTTTATAGTAGTCCCTAATCACCTCTTAATGAGAAATATTAGAGCCCTTTACAGGGTACTTGGGGGGGTCCTGATAACCTTTCGACTCTTAGCGGTCTAAGGACGTAAAGCTGGACAAAATGTTGGGAATCGTTCCTGTAGGCTTTAGAAGGGTTTAGGGCCGCCAATGAGAGACATGCTCAAAATGATCCCGTGATAGTTACTTAAGGATCTGTTGGTTCATTTGTAACGGCAGAGGACCTTGGGGCTAGGGGAAACTTTTGTGGCATTGAGCTGCCAAAACAATAGACAATGGTCAGATTGCAAACTTGGCACCTCAACCTAAAGCCTGAATCCTCACCCTGAACCCTAAACCCTGAATCCTACCCTACACTGTGAATCCTAACCCTAAACCATGTCACAAGAGCCCTCTTCAGAGTCGCACTTCGGCCACCTCGAAGCCCGAACTGTGAAATCTGGACCAAGCCGCTCAAGCCTACGACCAAACTTGTCAAACCTAATTTGGCGCTTCTGAAACAGGTCGCAATGACCCAACCCTAAATTCTAAACCCTGAACCCAAAACCCTACCAGGACCCCCCCCAAGTACCCTTTAAAGGGCTCTAATATTTCTATATAGTTCTCATTAAGAGGTAATTAGGGACTACTGTAAAGGGTACTTGGGGGGTCTAGGTAAACCCCTTCACCGTACACCCTAAACCGGTCTGCAATTCTTCAGATCCTGGCCTGGTCCATGCCAATGAAAATCTCGGCTTTCAACTCCTACGGTTGATGATACAAATGCTGCATTACCTTAAGGACCCTAAACTATGGGAATTATGGTATATTATTCCTTATTATGGTTAATGCAGGATTCATATCATCAACTCCTAGAGCGCTTAATCGCTTCACGTTGGGGCTTACGCCTACTACCCCTGCTCCCCGAGCTTGCTACAGGGCTTTGGGTTCTTTCTGTCAAGGCGCCATCCAAATTTGTATCTTCACAGAAACTCGCCTATGCAGCGATTTCGTGATTTGTCGCGCGCGAGACAAAATCACAGGAACAAGTAACTCGGGCGAAAAAAGGGCTGTGTTAGCCAGTGTTTGCTGTATGAAGCCCCACAGGCGGGGTACTCTGCTGCAGGTGCCCCGTGTCAAGGCAGACAATCGAAACATCGGTGCCTGGACCACTGAACGACATCTCTCAAGCTTAAAACCCCAAGCCCTAAACCGCTTAACCCTCCAAGTCTAATCCAAAGAACATCACAAAAGACCAGAGATCGTACGCCCGAAGCTAAACCCTAAACTACAAAATCACATGGACCTTTAGGGGGGGCCGGGGGGTAAGGGGGAGATGTCTATACGTCGTTAAAGAGGCCTGTTTAGGTCCTTATTATGGGCATTAAGGCCCCCTACCCCCCCTCCCCTACCCCCCTACGGGTCCCTATGACAAAGCATGTGCGACGACAAGGGGCAGAATCCTGGTCACAGAGTCACGATTAGAAGAATCGTGAGCACAACCGTACAGGAGTAGTGTTGACCATCAGGTTATGGCGGATCAGACCTGTAATTACCTAAACATACAGCAAGCGTTGCTGAAGGCGGTATTCTCACAGTGAAAGCGCAAAACAACTACGATGACACGGATAAGCAGAGACTAGCAACACAGCTCATCAACGCTGAAAGTCACAACAGCAATCATCACATACCTGCCAACATGAAAATACACATGGCACCGATGATGTTACCAGCAACAGACACGACAAACTCAACCAACGCTAATCATAGCAACATTAGTAGTCCAGGGCAAGGAGAATAATCATTAAACCAACAACAGGAAGAACGGCCAAATGTGAATGCAACCAATCGTAAAGGGGCCTCTCGTACAAACTATATATGATAGATGTATATAAATGTATATCTGTATGTATGTGCACACATATGTGTGTATATGTATACATACCTACACATACACATATGTATGTAGACCATCGTGTATATAATTGTAAGAAGGAGCACTCAGGACAACTGTTGCTTGTCCAGGCTTCTATGCCAAACCCGTCTAGTATCCATTACAGTAGCCCTTACAGCCTCATACGGCTGATGGGCAAAATCCTGCATGACCCTGAGGACTCTAAACTATGGGAATTATGGTATCTTCCTTATAGTGGGTAATGCAGGATTTTGTCCATCAGCCGTAGCAACCTTTCAGAGGAACCCCGAACCGGGGATCCTCGACCAGCCGCACCACGGTGGGGTGCGGGCGCAGAGAGGGATCCGCAAGGACCTTCCGTGAGCTGGCCGGTCATAAAAACCCAAAGGGTCCAGGCACCCTTATAGTAGGTACTTAGCAGGTACTCGGGCCCCCAAAGTATATACCCTCCTATTACTTGGACCCTTTGGGCAAAAGGAGTTCAGTTAAGAAGAGATAGTCGCCAAGCAAAAGCAAGTTCTCGGAAAACTTGGTGTCACATACATGTATGTATGTGTGAGTTTGTGTTTGTATATATAAACAAATAAAAAACACATGTCTGAGCATCTACACACAGGTATGTAATTCGCAGGTGCATACTTGCGTATTAACTGTGTACAGGATGGTAGGCCGCCGGGCCCACAGCTTGCCATCTGGTTCGACGCGCCGGTGCATCTCTGCCTTTATTTTGCGGATGGCAGACTTGGTCGTCCTGGGTTTTGGGGCTTAGAGGTTAGGGTGTTACAAGGATTTATTCTGTAGAGCTTCTAAGCCTTTAAGCCTTAAACAAAAAAACTTTGGGAGTTTCCGAAAAATTCGGGTACCTTATTCCAGGGTCCTTATAATAAGGATCCTACTTAGGATACTGTATTAGGTTCTGTTATTTTCAGAAACTCCCGCATGTCATAGACCGGCTTAAGGGTGACGGGCTGGTTGGGTGTTGGGCTGGTGCTGAAGCTTACGGACTTTGGGGAATAGCTTAGAAAGGGCCCCACCCTGTAACAGTGGTATAATAGGAATATAATAGGGCCCTGATATAATCCTTTTTCTCACTATTACAGGGTGGGGGCCCCTTCTAGGGAATAGACGATGCAGAGGTGCAATCCCCGATACCTAAGACCTTGGGTGAAATAAGCCCATGGTGATTTTGCAAACAGATCCGATGCCCTAAAAAAAGGCCTTAATAATTAGAAAAGGGGTTTGGGGCCCCTTGCACTATAGATAGAATAAGGAGCCCCAAAATAGTATAGGCAACTGTTTAAGCCCCTGTGGTAATTGCCTGGACCGAAAGCCAGGACTCGACATCTCTGATATGTGTGCGAATCGCAAGTACGGACAAGCTACCCGTCCAAAACTGAACAGCCCCATCCGAGATCCCACACACACACACACACACACCTTACCGCACCCTCAAGGGCTTAAAAGCGTAAGCCATGAAACTCGAAAGCCCTCCGTAAAGCCTGGAAATCATACACATGAATAATATGGGAGAGCATCTGCCCACTGGAAGAAGGCGAACGGCGGCGCCGACAGCCTGCTCTAAGCGGGCTGTGGGAGAGGATTACAGTTTAGGAGATTTCGGATTCAGAGATTCTTCCACAAAAGCCGATGTAAACGCAACATACACCAGAACTTCAATCCGCATGGTTAGTTGATGTTTGCCTGTTTGGCTTTTAAAGGTCACTGACGATGATTAGCATTATTGCCTTTGTTACTACTGCTAAGACAATCACACTGGTTAGTGTTATAACTATGTAGTCTAATCGTGTGTATGTCGAATGTTCGTTGTTTGGGTCTTGCCGTTTCCGTTAAAACTTCCGGCGGTCGCAGGCGGCCAAGAAGCCCCGTGAACGGCTTTATTTTAACTCTAGAGCTTCAGGGTTTGGGGTCTTGGCTCCAGGAGAGATGCAAGTCCTAGTGCAACGCCCCTAGCGTAGAAAACAAGTCAGGGAACGAAGGAATCCAGCTGCCATGTCACAAGATCACCCTGCAGTGTTCTGTATGTCGCATGCTTCTCCTTGGTGGTCATGGCTGCAGATGAAGCTGTGGAACCCAAACTTCCAGGATGTACTGGATAAACCTACCGTCTTTGCTTCGGGCACCAACTCCAGGTAACGCGTAGGTTTCGGATGCTGGCCGTTCAACTCGACATGGACGCGGTCATGCACTTGAGAGGTTTGGGGTAGCAGTAGTACGGCCAAAAAGTGGCAAGGCTCATGCCAGGATTACGATTGCTTTCAATTACGAAGGGTAAACTTCTCTCATTAGCGCTAAATAAGATCCACCAAGATAAACAGGATACTGTACCTTGGCCCTTGGCTTTGTCTTGTCAACTTAACCAGAGATTTGAGTCAGCTGTATCTTCTCTTCTCGTCTCGTCTCGGCTGCCAAAACTGCCCTGCAGGATCAGCAACCAGGTCTCGGGAACAACACTGTGTTTGCAAGATGTGGCAACTTGGGCAAAACATGTTGTCTGTGGTCGATTAACGGTTGCTGCATGGGATATGCTTGGCCTGGAGACCTATCCGAAATTCAGTCGCGCGAAAATGCATCGAGCGAGCTGTTGTCATGTAAAGGCTTTGTTGAAAGGCTCTGCCTGCCGTCGGAGTTGTAGACGTCGAACACCTGCAGGACTAGTCGACCCAACATTGGTGTGACATTGCATTTAAGTTTCAGCAACCGCTCACATCCACGACGCGAATAGGACCAAACGGCGCTGTGCGATCTGAAGCCATGAACGCAAATGCCAAGAATAGACCTGCAAAACAGGAACACACCCCGATACCCTTAATCCGCTGTCACGTCGGGTTCAGAGCGAGAGATTGGGAGACACCCGTGTCTACGGCAGCAACAGGAAGGTGTCTAACAACCGTCCGAATGCTGGATTGGCCAATGCTGGGAATAAACCATGCGCAAGTAGCGGCACTGGCAGGTGTAGGAGCAGCAATTTGGGCAGTAGTAGTCAGCTGTGACAACAGCAGTGAAAGAAGTAAGAACCGATCCCAATCACAAAGCAAGAACGCGCTGTTTTTTCACTCTGCAAGCCGTATGCATCTTGTTGCTGACCGTACCATATGTCTACGTGTGTGTGTATAAATATATAAATATATAAATAAATAAATAAATAATATATATATATATATATCCAGATAGGTGTGTATATATATATATATATATATATTATATATATATATATATATATATACAGACTAAACAGTAATCATGTTTAAATAGATATGAATACATGTATGTATATGCATGTTCACTCAGTATACATGCGTACGTACACAATATGCAGAACACAAACAAACAATCATGCAAGCAAACATCAACACAGACACACACACACACAAACAACCAAACACACACATGAATTTATAAACGCATAACAACAAACAAACAAACGAGCAAACAAAGGAACAATCAAACAAAACAACACAAATCAAAACAAAACAAACAAACCAACAAACAAAGAAACACACACACACACAACACACACAAGACACACACACACACAACACACACACACACCACACACACACACACACGCACACACAGAGACATCCGCTCATGCTCCTACATGCTGCTTGGAAGCCTTACGTGCTGCGCCCATAATCTCAGAAACAACAGAGGAGTAATGCTTTTGGTCGTCGGGTGATGGTGCTTGGTAACATAGGGTCCTTAATGTTTAAAGGGGTTGTAGGGCCCATTGTACTATACTTACAATAAGGAACACCCAAAAGAGTATAGGTAATTATATTATGGCCTCTATAGTATACTACTCCTCGTAGTGGCGTGGCCGGTGCTGGAAGCGGTGTTTGGGGTTTAGGGTTTAGGATTTAGGGTTTGGGGTTTAGGGTTAGGGTTTAGGGCACAATCGTCTGTTGAACGAACCGATGCAAACGTTGCCTGCTTCCTCCTGAAGGGCCGGAAATACCTGGAACACAAAAGCTTCTGATCGGGCTGCATTTCCAAAGCTTCAACAAAGGCGGGCAGCCATCTCAAATAGAAGCCTACCCTAAACCCTAAACCGTCTTGGTTTGGGTTTCTTCAGAACCACGGCCTTTCCTTAGGGACGAAATGAACCTTAAAAGGCTTTAAGGTTCACTTATCATATAGGGATTTATAGTATAAGGGTAGAGAGCCCATACTTTTAAGGGTCATTTGGTCTCTAAGGTTCCTGAATGCTCTTTTGAACTTTGCTTGCTGTTGACTTGTTGCTGCGCGATGTCGCGTTGGGAATCTTGGTAATATAGGGGCCTCATATCATTAGAATAAGGTGTTGGGGTATGATATACTGTAATTTCCAAGGGTAAAAGGACGGACCCTTAATAAGGACCCCTAGGTATATACCCTTAATATAGCTATTATATACCCATTATATAGCCCCATTATGGGGTAGGGGTCCCCATTAAGGGTCCCTCCTTTTCCCCTTTAATTGAGGCGAGCCGAACCCTTGAGATGGGGCATCGAAGCAAAACCGCCGGAATTTTCGCACCCCCTCATTGGGATGTGGCTCTAGGCTCCTGGTGGAATAATGAATACTCTCTATTCCGAAAAAAAACATTCAGCATTTGGTGACGGGCGGGTATACGGTATACTTCAAAGAACTGCAGAAGTCTATGTTCAAATGTGCTGCTGTGATGTGAAAAAGGTTTGGGGGCTTCGTCCCAGCTTCTTTCCTTCCGCCGAGACTGGTCACTTCCTTAAACGACCTGGGATCTGTACATGTCGGCTTCTAACACATCTGATTGAACTCACTGCCAAGCGCAAGCGGGACTTTAATAAAAATTCCCGGGGAAGCTGCTCTGTACGTACCCTCTGAAACGACACATGCTGCAAATGCCGGGAATAGACACCCGGGCGCGTTGCAGCAGAAAGGCCAGAGGAGAAATGAAGAAGCGTGCCCGTCGCAATCTACGGCAGACAGCATCTCCCGCTTTCCCCAAAGCTGTACTCCATGTCATTTCCGCTCAGAGGGAGATGAGCGTTTTCCTTGGCTTGGCAGTCGAGCTCTGACCTTGGATACTTGCAGAAGCTGTCGAAGAGGCCACGGGAGGTGTGCTCGTGCCAGCATCATGATTTGCTTCCGATTTCGCTTCTGGCGTCGTCTTGGAGGTGCCCTTGCCCTTCTCTTTCGTCTGGGATACTTCAGGCTGGCTCGCACCCTTCTTCTTGGCATCTTGGTGGATTTTCAAGAGTTCCATGACCTTCTCGTCCAGAAGCCAAGCACCCAAGACATGGGCCTCCTCTTCCGCCCGGGGTTCCGCCTTGCTCTTCTCCGACTTGTCCTTCTTGGCCCTCACATCCTTTGACTCGCTTCTTTCCTTCGTCTCCTTCTGAGTACTTGGAGGGCGGCTCCGTGAGAGAAAGTTCAGCTTCTGAACGCGAGTCTCTACGTCAGGGCTCGTGGTCGGATCATTCTCTTTGTTGTAGTTGTCTGAGTCCGGTCCCTGCCCACCTGCGTCCACGGCCATGGCGCCAATGCTGGCTTGACCGCAAAACTGTGTTTCTCGTCTGCTGTGTGTGCTTTGTGCTTCTGCAAGTCGTTGTTCGCTAGCGTGGCACGGCGATGTGTGCCTACGACATGCGCTGACCCCGTTCGGGGACGGCTGCGAAAGTAGAGATTGGCTCTGAACTGCCCGTCATTTCTAAAGCACTGAAGAAGAGAGAGAGAGAGAGAGAAAACAAAAAACAGAGAGAGACAGATAGAGAGAGAGAGAGAAAGGAGAGCGAGAGCAAAACTTAAAAGAAGAGGGAGAGCAGCGATCATTCGCAAAGAGAGCAGGACTCATCAAGACTAACAAGAACGGAATGCGAACAAGACGATCACATCATGCCTGAACGCGGGGTTTTTGCAGGATTTAGAGTCTTTAGAGTGAGGCATACAGCTTTCCCTGGAAGCCCAGTTACCTAGGCTGACTTTACATGATCATTTGTAGGCACAGCAGCTTGCTACATGGACAGCCGGGCTTTTACTGGCATCCCTTCCGAGACACATAACAAGGTCGGCCGCATGAGGCAGAGCGACTGGCGCCTGCGGAGAAGCAGGCGCGGAGCTCTGCACCCAACAACTACCCCCATTTGTGAAGAAAACGGGAAGAACACCCTCAAATGCCTACAAACTAACCCAAGTATCCGGGCATTGCATTCGAGTTTGGGGTTTTGGTCTTCTGGTTTGGGTCTCAGGCGGCTCGACCTCAAGCCAGGTAGCGTGTGATCATTTCCCTGAAGTTGGAGGTCATTGTCCTTATGTCAGTCTAAGAAGCAAACCGTAATCAGAGAAGACCAGCACGATTCACCACCTTCTAGATTCCAACTTTCCGCGGCTTTCGTAAGGTACATAGCTTACCACAGACAACTGCAGGCCCCTCACCCCCTTCCCCGCATAGATCGCCTGCAGCATTGGCATCGGAGTGTGGAAGACCTGCCCACGAGAAGCGTCGACGATTTGCCAACGACGCCAAAGAAGAAGGTACTGCATATGTATAACAGCTTCTCTGTTTCGGTGCTTTCGGCGGAAAGTAGACTGTAAGTTGTAGAAGAAGGGCTAGAAGGGGTTGTTAGTACTAAATGTACCGACCGCCTGGGGAATTTTTGTTCCCTGGCCCCTAAACCCCAAAGCCGGTTTAGGCCCAGCGGGTCACACACCCAAAGGGTCCAAGTATCATCATAGTATATACTTGTAGGGTATTTATGGGGGTCTAAGTATGTACCAAGAAGATACTTGGACCCTTTGGGACAGTCAGCTTGTCCTGAAACATGCGGACTGAGGCGAGACTCAGAGATCTTGGGTCTGGTTAGGAACGACTGGGTCTATTAAACCTAGATAGCCGAAGAACTAATTATCACAATGATATATTCACATATATTCACTATAGTCATGATCATAGTAAGATAAGTCAAAACAGCATAAAAAAGGCGCTCTTCTGAGTAAAAAAGCACAGCTACAATTGTAACAATGTTGATAGCACTGCAGCTTGTACCTGGTTGCACGAGTTGCATGGCTCTTCTACGGTGAACGAGTGGCAGGGATTAGGGCTTCATCAACATTACTTGCTTCAGCTTGGAGAAGACCGTATGTGAACAGGAGCCGAATCCAAAGCAACATGGTGTGTTTGCAAAGGTTACAATCTAAAACATATATCAAAGCCGACGACCCTTTCACGCAGCAGGCACACAGCAGCAATTGATGTGAGAAGACTACTTAGATGTTGATCTACGCGTCTTCGCTACCAGAATTACACGAAGTAGGGCATCTAGACATACAAGTTACTATACACCTCCGTCAGTTCCAGCCTGCGCGTAGATTCTTCAAACGCCAAGCGCCAGATATAACCCCTAAGCCCTCTTAAACTCTAAACCCCTAAACCTCTGAACCCTAAACCACCGAGGTGGATCTTCGACCCTGCCTGCTGGAGCAGGGGACGCCACTTCAGTGGCGGATCGCGCCACTCCGACAAATCCTGACGTGGAACTTGCCCAAACCTTCCAAATACCCTGAGAGTAGGTACTTAGCAATTAGATATTTGATCCCCAAGAGTATATGCTATGCTATTGCTTGGACACTTTCGGTTGAACAAGCCATGTGAAAACTGAGAGCGTGAGCAGAGAAACCCGAAACCCCAAAACATACTTTTTTGTAGGGTCCCTATAATATCCATATTAAGGTTTATAGTAAGAACCGACACAAAAGTAGGGCTGTAGGCTAAGGTTCTATGCTAACTATTACTTGGACCCTTCGGGAGAGGCGACGGTTGTCCCGATGGGCCGTGCGCTGAGGAAGCCATCAGATAAACCCGAAGCGTCCTACGTGCCTAGTGTATATGATAGAATGAAGGGTTTCTAAATTCGTAATAACTGTCATGATTTGGGAAAGTATAACAGGAATCCTACACCCTAAACCCCTAAAGGGGAACCCTTCAAGGAACTCATAGAGACATGTAGGACCTTTCCATAACAATACCCAGGTCTCGAGCGGAACAAAGCATGGCCCAAAGGGCCCACAAGTGCCTTATAGAACTCTTATGGCAGTTTCCGAAAATTGGGGGTACCTTATTTTGGGGTCCTTCGAAGGATCCCCCATTTTCGGTAACTGCCTTGTAGAGCCCCCTCAACCGTAAACTCCAAACCCTGAAGAGCTGAAAGAAGCCTATTGACAAGGGCCCGAGTCCAAATAATCATATGTAGTAGGTACCTACCTTAAGCTACCAAAGCCTACTTTTTGCTAGGGTCCCCAAAAACTCCATATTAAGGTTTATTGTAAGAACCTACAAAAAAGTAGGGTTTGGTAGGCTAAGGTAGTAGATATTGGACCCTTTTGGGCGGCTCTCATAGAAACTAATATTGTAGTCACTCTACTTATAACCCAACATATGACTAATTACCCATGAACCTCCAAGTACCCTGAGGGTCCACGTACCTTAAAGTCTAGGATTTGGGGTTGAAGGGTCCATGTGAGCACATGGAGTATACTTCGGCCTCAGAGTCGTACCGTAGGGCGAAAGTATATACTATATGGGTACATGGTCCCTTGAGGATACTAATGCTTGAAAGGCGGCTCCTACTGAACTCGGACACCCCGTCCCCCTCCCGAGCCTGGTGAAAGCCCCCGCTGCCAGGATCCAGGATCATCTTCTGTGGAGCGGCGTGGGTAGTTGTCAAAATTAGGGTCCTTTTTGGGGGTACCCTAAAAATTCGGTGCCGTATTATATTAAGGAGCCAAAAAGGAACCATAATTCTGACAACCACCCGCGTGGCTCTAACCCCTAAGCTCGAAACCTTAAACCCTAAACCGCTCAAGTTGGGTTTAAGGTTTAGGGGTTTCGGGGCTTAGGGGTTTAGGGTTTAGGGTCTTGATTAGGGTTTAGGTCAGCATACCGTGGGTCCATCGAAGGCTGAACCTCACTTCACGAAACTGCAACTGTCAATCCCAATTCTCCACCATACCCACTCCCACAAACGAGCATGCTTGGCCCTAGGGCCCTAGGGCTACAGTTAAATTTTGCATATATATATATATATATACATATATATATATATATGTATATATATATATATATATATATATATATATTCATATACACACACATATTGCTATGTTACATGTAGTAGGCAACTAGCCATATAGGATGTAACCCAACAACCCACTGTTTGTAGTATGCTGTATTACAGAATGTTAAAAGTTAGCATACAGTACTGTAGTACATTATATCTGGTATATGTTTCAGATGCAAGGGACCTGAGCCTGACTTGCCACAGAAGCGACATCCCGAACTTCTAACCGATCTCGCTTGAAGCTGGGCGAATGAAGCCAGCATCGGAATATGGGGTTTAGGGTTTAGGGCCGACATCGAAAAGGGAAGTTTATGGTTTAGGGACCACATCGAAAAGTGGGGTTTACGGTTACGGTCTTCCGAAAAGGCCACAACCTTCCCGCAAGAAAGCCTTGGCTTGGAGCTGCTGGAAGCAGCCACGGCCCCTGGAAGAACTTCGAGGGGTGTCGGGCCAGGGTAATGCCAGGGTTCGGTGTAGGGCTTAGGGTTTGGGGTTTAGGGATTGGGGATTGGGGTTTAGGGATTAGGTTTTAGGGTTTCCGGGTAGTGCAGCGCTTCCTATACAGGTTCCTAGAAGACCTCCTTTTGAGGGCACTAGAGGGGTTTGTAGGGCTTAAGACTTATGTAGACATAGCTCTCTCAACCCCTCAAAGCCAGCATGAAAGCAGAAATCACAGCAACAGCTCTGACATGCACCCGGGTGCCTGTTGCAGGAAGCGCTCCTGGCATAGTTGGAGGTACTTAGAGGATCATGGGACTTAATAACTGAGTTATAATTAGGCTAACTATGCTTATAGCTACTTATAACCCAATTAAGGTACTTATAAGCTTAGTTAGTAAGTCCCATGACCCTCCAAGCAGATCTAGGGCTTGGGGTTTGAGGGTTCACCTAGGTACTGTTATCGGGGGGATACTTTCCCAAACCAACAAGATGATCTCTAACATGGAATCCTTACATCCTACTACGTAGGTACTTAGATCCCGTTCGGAGATGATAGGGTGTGGGGGGTGTTGGAGGTTCAGGAATGTTTGGGTTTGAAGATCGCGCTTCTGTAGATCTTACGTTCAGCAGTTCGGGCTGAAAAAGCTGGAAGCTTCAAGATCTATCGTCATGCGGGCTCCATGTGCCCATATAGTATATACTTAGGCTTAGGCCTTAAAGTACCTATATAATGTAGGGACCCCTCTAAGACTTAAGTATCTACCATGAAGGTACATGGAGCCTTTGGGAATGTGAACGTGGGTAACGTGGGGCAGAGACGTTGATATCTCCGCCATAAGGGTCCAGGTATCTCTTCAGGAGGGTCCGGAATGTCCTAGGGAGAGTCCTTGGGGTCTCTTGAGGGTCTCAGAAACCCTCAATTTTGAGGCTCCCAAATGTGTTAGGACCCTGAGGGCGGTACCAAACCCCTCGGACTCGAAACAGTCCCCAACTCCCAACCATGCTGACCGAAGGCCCTAACCCTAGACCGTTTGAACGCCCGTAATCCAGATCCCCAAAACCCTAACCCGTAAATCCTAAACCTTAAGCCCCAAAACCCTAACCCTAAAACCTCAACCCTAAACCCCTAAACCCATAAGCCCCCAAAACCCTAAACCGTGATCCACCTTTAGCCCTTAGCAAAAGCCGTAGCCTGCATGTTGGCAGCTTGATACCCCTAAGCCTATGCCCATATGAGAGCTTCCGAAAAGGGGTACCGTAAGTTTGGGGATCCTTGTACTAACTAGGGTTATAAGTAGGCCTGCTATACTTATGGCTACTTATAACCCCAATTAAGGTACTTATAAGCTTAGATACTAAGTCCCATGATCCTCCAAGTACTCCTTAGGGTACTAAGTTGGGGTCCCCTATCTTCAGTTTCTCCCATATCATGGATTCCGAAACACAGCCCCCCCCCCCACCCCCCGGCGCCCATGGCCCGACCCCAAGCCGTGGACACCACACTTTCGACAGCCTGGGGAGCCTCACACAACCCACACACACACACCCTGTAGGAGCCCGAATAATTAGAATAGGGTTTGGGGGTCCATTATAATATAATTACAATAGGAGGCCGCAAAATAGTATAGGTAACTATCTAGTTCATGCTTGGGATAGGATTTAAAATGTCCATTTCTATTCCTTATTGGGTTAAGCACCCATAAACATGTAAAAGGTTATCCAACTATGGCCGCAGTGTGTTGAAAGCACTCCCATCATCATGAGCCGTACGTAAGCAACACTCAACCTTAACTTCAAAACCTTGTATTTGAAATCCTGAGCAGCCCTTAACTCGGCCGAAAACCCTAACCAAAATCCACCTAAACCCTGAAAAATCCCGTACCCTTCAAGCCCGTAACCCTTAAGACTTAAGCCTTTAAACACCTCAAACGCTTAAAGCTGTAAGCTCGACATCTTTCTCAAACCCCGATATCTTCAAATACAAGTTCTCAACAGTCTATGAAGAACCATATAATAGAACCACACCATGAACCCTCGAAGCCCTCTGTTCAATCCCCTAAACCACCCATGGGGGCAACCACAAGCTTGTGCCTGTCTTCCCAGAGGCGATCCTGGGTCGTGCAAAGTGGGTTTCTGGTTTAGGGCTTCAGGACTTGCAGGGCTTGGGGTTTCCAGGTTAATGTAGTGAATTTCGTAAGAGTGGGGGGGCTGATCAAAATTGAAGAGAACTAATTGAATGGTGACTGCAAGAATCCTTGCCAACTGCATTAGCAGTACCCAAAGTCAAGCAGTCTTCATATCAATTACGAAGGCCAGAAATTAGTGATGGTTGCTCCTATACCCTAAATCCTTGGCCACGATACGCACATGTTTGGAATTCGGAGGACTTGCTTGCGATCTCAGGCCGGCAGTCGTGCTGCCGAGGCTTCCTGGGTTTGTTTTTTGTGTAAACGTAGCAAGGAACCCTAAGGAATACTACTGGTAATTATACAGGCTCCTCTGGCACACGAAAAGCCACAGTTCGGGTATGTTTTTGGTGTTCTCTGGAAGATCATCACAATCTCAAGTATACGACTTTGACTGCCGTCAGCCGGTCATCATACTGCCCGAGGCCCTGAACCGCTAATCCCGCAAACAGAAACTGCTCCCTCTCTTTCGCTTCAATGGCTTATAGAGCTGGACCTGTATGATGTCCGACTGGATCCTAGTGACATTGAAACCAGCGGCCTGCAACCTGAACTCGTAACGTCCCAAGTTGGGAAGTGGGCAAGCAGGTGATGTTTGTCTGTGCGCGCGTGTGCACGCAAGGGCGGGGTGTGGATATCATGCTACAGCTATGTCATGTACGTAGGGACGGTAAAGCAACATCGATATGGGTCATGTTCAGCCAACCCCCAGCCCAAAGCCTCTTCATGTTCATCATGAACACCTGCACGTCGCACTTTGCATATTCCAAACCAGCTAGATGTAACTGCTAACCTCCGAATCCTAACAGTGCCACAACATCCTGCAAGGAGGTGACCGGTAGACGCGGTCATCTGTCGAGCTGGGCTGCTGGCAGCTCGACAACCACCGCAAAACTCCTGTGTCGGTCTTGCATTTTGAAGTCTGGGAAAGTTATACTCTCTCTTGTAGAGCGGTTCGGGTGGATCGTCGGGCTGCAGGGTATCGGAGGCAGTAGATACGCCCGGCTTTCGGCTGAGGGTCTTCATCTCCCCATCGTCTCGGAAAGCCGGCGATTGTCTGGTACTGTTCATGGGCTTAGACCGAGCGAAAGAGTATGTTCGTCAAGTTCATCTCCAGCATCGACGTGATTCTCGCTGATGTTCCTCTTCATCTTCATCGTCATCAGATCGCCATCACACCACCATAGCAGTAATCCCATCGCCGCAAACGATATAAGTTTCACATGCAAGCATCTGCTGCTGCTGATGGCTGATGATGATGATGATGGTGATCATGCACATTCTGTTCGCGGTGCGAACTGTGATGCGAATAATACGCATGCGACTGGTGGTTCCGAAAGCAAACACATGCAAGTAGGACCCTGACAGCATCAAGAAGACCATTAGGTAGAGTTCCAGGATCTGGGGCGGGGTTCAAGCTCCGAGGGATTCGAGCTACTATGGGGGCCTCAATGAATAGAACATGGTTTTGGGGCTCATTATACTATATGTATACTAAGGAACCCCAAAATAGTATTGGTAATTATCAAGGCCCCTAGATTAGCACCTCGAGCCAAACTTACCAAACGCCGAATCGGAACTGAAAGCCGGAACCTTAAATCCTAAACCTGAAACCTAAACTTGTAGGGTCCTTAAGGGGGGAGGGGTCCAAGCAGGCGGGGTGCTAGGGATCCGTCGGGGTACAAGAACCGTAGACTAAGGGCCTAAAGCTGAACCAGGTGTTGCAGAGTTCGGGCTCACTTAGAACCGTCACCAAGCTTCTATACAGCTTAGGGTTTTTTTAATGTGCAATGACTCTTTCTCCAAAGCTCCCCGTTTAGGGTTTAGGGTTTAATTGCTGTCTTGCCGAAGCTCTCACAAGTAGCTTCCTGGAAACCTTGTCTTCCCTGACCCAAAATGTTTCTATACTGAACTTAGGACCCTAGCAAAAATTATGATTTTTGCTGTTTCTTAGGGATTCTAAAAAAATATTTCTAAGCACCCCTAAGAAAAGACATGCCGACAAACCCGAGTGAAAACAAACGCTGCTAGTGAACCCGCTGGGTAAGCTCTGAGCCACAAACACCAATCCCCTAAACCCTAAACCCTAAACGCCGAAACCCCTTAACCCTAAACCCTAAATCCTCAACCCTGAACCCGAAAATCCTCAACCCTAAACCCGAAACCCTAAATCCTCAACCTAAAACCCGACTAAACCCTACAAAACCCTACTAAACCCTACAAAACCCTACTAAACCCGACTAAACCCTACTAAACCCTACAAATCCCCAGAGCAAGCCCACACGGCCCGGCCAGCAGCTTCGGTGCCAGATGTCCGCTGGAGCGAAAGCCTGGGCTTTTAAGTACCCGGCGAGAAAAAAGTATACACTTTTGTTTCATCATGGCTCCTTTAAGGAAAAAGTGTAGACTTTTATTTCATAATGGCTCCTTTAAGAAAAAGTCTAGACTTCTATTTCATAATGGTTCCTTTAAGAACAAAGTATGAAAGTATGGTACTCCAAAGCCCAGAAGCAGGGCAACTGCGAGATCTGTGTATGCCTGGTCGGCTAATGGGCTCTGGGTCTAGGGTTTTAGGGTGTCTTAGGGTGTTTCTAGGGTGTTTCTAATTTTAGGGTTTAGGCTTGAAGATCCTCTTTACTTTTGGGATTTGGGTTCAGGGGTTTGGGATTTAGGGTTTAGGGACTTCGGGTTTAAGGTCCTGAGCAGAAGCTGCGGCAGTTTCGGGATGTGCTGAGGCTGACGAGACATGTGGCCAAAACCGCCCGTCGATGTTGAAGGTCTGGCAAGGGAAGGGTTCTTCTGCCCAAGGCAATGGTGCAACCCGAAAGTCCGGGCAAGTCAGCACTGAACCCTCGATCAATCCTGGCCCCTAAACCCCGAAAGTTATGATTGATTAGTAAGCAGTATTACTTACAATACTATGCCACTTTATTAATGTCTTTGCGAGGCCAGAAAGTTGGAATTTCATTAAGTTATTCCGTGGTACAATGCATCGGGAATCCCAGCACTTATCTTCCCAAATCCATGTTCAAACGTTCCGGGATTCGCTATGCTATGTAAAAAAGTATGTTTAATATGTGTGTACATACATATACATATACATATACATGTACATATACATATACATATATTTATACATATACATGTACATTTACATATACATATACAATAAACATATACATATACATATACATATACATATACATACACATATACATATACATGTACATAAACATATATATATATATATATATATACATATATATATACATATATTATGGACATGTACATACAGGCGTACTAATACTGTCTTGACTTCCAGCGGGCCTCGTATCACCGATCGCGTCCCTGGCGAGAGCATCGTGTGGGATTGAAATTTGATGGTTCTAACATGATGCCTTAAAGTTCTGGGGAACGGTATTTTGCGCCTAAATTTCAATTAAAGTGTATGGACAGTCTTTAGATGCGTTAGCCTGACAACTGTTGCCAACCCCCAAACCAAGATGGAATCTACAAAGGACCACTTCACGGCAAAATCCCAAGCCCCAAACACCCCAAAAGCTTCGGCGAAGAAGCCTTCGGAGAAGGACGGGCCGTGCTGTCCTTACCGCTGTGATAAGGGACACAGCAGCGACGAAGAGCTCGTTGCCGAATCGAGCTCCTCCTACACCCGCGACTGCTTGGGATTTGGATTTAGGCCATAGGGCTTAAGCAATCGGTTTGCGATCATTTCATTGACGGCTGATAGAGTTTGGTGTTCAGCGTTTAGGGTTTTATAACTGCTCTCGTCCATGTGGACATTCATCGTTCTTCTGGCCGACGTAACTTGGGTTCAGGGCATAAGGTAACTGTCGTGCTTTGCAACTGTCAGGCAGTGTTTGCTTTGGAGGCGTAGAATGCAAACCCTCCCCATGAGACCCAAACAGCTGCAGCCGAGAATCCAGAACATCATTCTGGGGACTTACTGTACTTGGGGCGGTAGGGCGGGATTTACAGGGGGGACTCTGGCTATTATTGGCTGAGCATTCAGAGCTCGTGTAAAGCAGATCTGCATAGCGCGCCCTCAAGAAACATCTGGTTGGGTGGCTGGCGTTACAGCATGTTGGTCGTGTTGCTGGTGATGGTAGTGTTGGGATGTCGAGGCACCACGTATCAATACGATCTATTTGTGTTGCTAGAGTGGTGAATAATCTTGTTGCTACTTGCACAGCTCGTCGTCGTTTTGTTTGGAATTCTGCCTTTCGGTACATTACGAGCACTGCTGTTGTGACCGTTTCACATGCCCTTCATTATAACGTGTTATCTAAACAGCGGCACAGACTGTTGAAGTAGGGTAGGTTTCATGAGCCGGATGCTATCCTAAGCATGACTTTCGGGCAGATCCCAGAAACGTAAGTTCAACTTCAACCAACCAATCAGACTCCGCGCCAGCAGTGCTCGCAAAGCTATAAACCCTCAAACAAAATCGAAAGCCACAGGAGAGCCTGTAGCCGGATCACTGCGCTGCCAACACCGACTACAAAGTATAGGAACCCATGCAGCCGACTTGCTGCGCTCCGAAGTCTCCAACCTAAACCCGAAAGAACACGGACCTGAACATGTTTGGTGCCAGATGCCTCCAGCATCCGCTCCCAGCAGCACCACTTTAAAGAGTTCACCTGCGAAGCTTTGTGCACCCTTGGCCCTTGCTATGAAGCCATTTATGAAGAAGTTGAGGGCTTTGCATCTATCGGCTGCAGAGCCGCAAGGCCTGCCTAAACCTCAAAACACCTAAACCTGACTGACTCCAATACCTGAACTCCGGAGTGGACTTTTTTTGCCCTAGAAGTTCATGCACACCGGCCCAAGGTTTAGGGTTTGGGGCCGGCCCGGGTTGCTTAGAGCTTACCTCAACCCTGGATAAACTACCTTTTTAGGGTTCCCTCTTGTAATTTCCTTATATAAGTCCTTAAAAAGGTAGGTTATTGGGGGTTTAAGTACGGTTTAGTGGTCGTCATGATGGGCGTTGCAAGTATGTAGTGTTGTTGGGGCATTCAGAAATACATAGACTAGGGTTTTCGGGACGTATCGTGAACTCAGACAAAGGAAAGGAACCTAAGGAATATAAACAGCTAACTGGGTGGTTCTCAAAACTAGGGTCCCTTTTTGGGTCCCTGTTATAATACGGCACCTAATATATTTAGGGTACCCAAAAAGGTGCCATAATTTTGACAACCACCCAATTGTTGAAGACGATGCAGGCCCCTGTGGTTTTGGCAGTGGGTTTAGGGTTTATACGTCTACCTGAGAGTTCATTCGGGCAGATTTGGGGTGTAGGGTGTTCATCATTGTGCAGTATCGCTTCACCTCTTTCATTTCCCGAACCCGACTTGAATATTTAATGCCCGCAAAGAGCGTCACGGTCTCACCTAAAGTTGAGGAAGTGCATTGTTTGAGGACCTGCAAGTAGGTATCAGTATTAGTGCCACTATTGGTAGTATAACGCAGTAGTACAACATGCCAGCGCTGAGATATTCCCCAGAATATGAGTATTACCATTACTAAGCATTTCTTTCTTGATTGGACTGTTGGTACTACTGGTATAGCAGTTTTTGTATAGTGATACTAGAACTTATAATGCCTCTGCTCTCGCAACAGCCTCAGGAAAGACTAGCGAACCCAGGATTGTCCCTCCTGACCTCTACTTACAATCAGAATAGGGTTTTGGGGTAGAGTACCGTGCTAATACAATCATTGTATAGGGACTTTATGGAAGTACTACAACCACTACAATGATTGCAGTAGAAGCAAATCCAACGAGGACAATACCCACATACTCGTGCATAGGCTTCTACAGGACTCAGCTCTTTACAAGCAACGTGTCAGCTTCTAATGAAATCTCCAGCAAATCCTTGGACAGAACCTTTATAGTACCCCTTTAAAGGCTTTTGTACTCCTCAAAGAAACGAACCCTTTAAAGTAACCGTTACTACGGTAGCACGCTACATGAGGAACCTTAAAGTAGCCCTCACGGTAATCGCAGGCCTTATGCTAATCCGCTTAGGGTGTGGGCGTTAAGGGTTTAGGGGATTATTTGAAATGGTTTTCAAAGAACAACCAGCAGCCGATTCCGACCGAAAGAGCTACCATCACTGTTGCGGTTACATGGCTTCAGAAAAAGCGAACATCATTGCAATGCCAGAAGGCTCGTCCTAAACCCTGTGCCCTAAACACTAAATTCCAACGAAACTCGACGGCCGACGAGACCGACTCCCTGCTAGCATGCCGGTCGTAGGTTTGGGTTTTCGGGTTTGGGGAACCATCTAATCTACTTTGATACACCGGCAATGTACCCTAATTAGTGCATTATATCCCTATCAGAATACTAATCCTTCAACTCACCGATTCCGGCTCGGGGCTTGCCAGTTCGACTGAATATTGCCCTGGTCCGGCCTGGCTGGCCCTCATCCCAATCGTCGATGGGCAAGTGACCACAGGCAAGGTCCTCCTCTGTAGCTCGACCTCGTTTCAGCGCAGAGAGCCGTGCGTATATGTATGCAGCCACGCGTCCCCAAACCCCTACCTCGACCCCAAAAGTATGTAGAAGAATACCTTTTCACAGGGTTTGGGCCATGTTTTTACCTACTTTTTGGGGTCTAGGTAGACATCCCGTCACCTAAATAGTAGGTGACTAGCTTTAGATGAGTAGCCCAACAACCCATTCTTCAGGTAGTTGGCGCCCTGGGGAACTTTACTCCAGCTGTTCTCTTGTTCTTGACTGAAAGTCAGAAAGTTCAAGGCAGGAGAGCTACTGAGTATGGGAGCCTCAATAATGATAATGTTCATGATCCTGGTAATGATCCTGATCATCACAAACTTAATCATAGTCATAGCAATATTATTAACAAGAGGAACGAGATTTCGGGGCTGATCATTGTGCACACTAATCAAACAGGAATCTGTTTCTAGTTTCCCAAAGGGTCCAAGTCACCATATAGTACATACTTTAGGGTACTAAGTACCTACTATAATGGTACTTGGACCCTTTGGGTTCGGAAACGACCGAACGGCCTACGTCTGGCGCAGACGTCGAACTCGATGCCCCGGTAGTCGAAACCGACTTGACCTTCACAAACCATCCCAGGGACTCTTTGCATCTCCTCAAACTCTCTCTCTCTCTCTCTCTCTCCCTCTCTCTCTCTCTCTCTCTGTCTCTCTCTCTCTCTCTCTCTCTCTCTCTCTCTCTATCTCTCCCTCTCTCCTCTCTCCTCTCTCTCTCTTTCTCTCTTCTCTCCCTCTCTCTCTCTCTCTCTCTTCTCTCTCTCTCTCTCTCTCACTCTCTCTCTCCTCTCTCTCTATCTCTCTCTTCCCTCTCTCTCTCTCTCTCTCTCTCTCTCTCTCCCTCTCTCTCTCTCTCTCTCTCTCTCTCTCTCTCTCTCTCTCTTCGTCTGTCTCTCCGGCACGCTTAAGAAAGAGTTCGATCCCAAAGGTCCTGGCATCCTCCCTAAACATCCCGAAAACCTGATCTTACTTGAGTCATTCCCTGAAACCTCATTATAACCATAGTAACCCTATTGTTTGTAATACTCTCTTGGGTTTTATATGAACTAAAATAGGAGACTATATGGTGGCTGTGTGATTCGCGTTTGGGGGCTGTCTTCTGTAGCGTCACATCTTCGAGGTCTTCGGAAAAGCGAGAAGCTCTGGGGCTGACTGTAGCAAAGTCACAAGCTCCCATCCCCTAGGTAGTCAGTAATTACTGTACTTAGCTTAAAGACTCCAATCCCTGAGCCCTAATATAGGGGCCTTAGTAATTAGAATATGGTTTGGGGGCCCATTATATGTAATTATAATAAGGAACCCACAAAATAGTGTTGGTAATCAATTGTTAAGGCCCCTATAGTAACTATAGTACGTAATAGCCTTACACATAGCAGCCTCTTAGGGCCCATGGCTTGAGATTGCAGAGTCTGGCGGTTTAGGGTTTAGGGCAGTTACAGGAATTTGCTGAATCGAGACTGCTTGGGTTTTCTGTGCTGGCGGAAGTCATCAGGGTTCCCCTGAAGTGGTCTCCTTCTTTTTGCTTAGGGCTTCTCCCTCGACCATACTCGCAAATGCCACATCGCAAATCTACCTCTGCCACCATCCAATACCACCTCCAAACCCTCAACCCTGAACCCTAAACGGTAAACCCTCAACCCCAAAACAGAGTGCTTAAGGGAGCCTCCGGCGACTCCGATGTACCGCGTGCTACTTCCTCGACACCTGCTAGACTGCTCGACCGCCGTGAAGCATTTAGGGGATGTATGGCTTGAGGCATTTAAGGTTCAGTGCTTAGCATCCAGGGCTGAGAGGCAAGCTTTCGGCAAGGTGTGGAGGAAAAAACCCTAAACCCTCAACCGACACACTTCTAGTGCTTCGTCACAGACCTCACGGTTGCCCCATGCAACCTCGAGAGACAACCCCACCGCCGCGGTTAAACTTGCAAGCAACCTTCCCAAAGTCCCCATGCCCCTTTAGAGTAGATACTTAAGCCTTAAAGGGGTCCCTATATGGGCACTTTAAGGCCCAGGTATATACTATATGGGTACATGGAGCCTTAGGGCTTCAAACAGCCATAGTTTTGATTTGGGGTTCAAGCCTGGCAGCTTCAGGCACGGGTATAGATCTGAGGCTACCCTAACAGTTCAAAATCAACATCCAAGGGGCGCATCTCTCAACATCAATTCAACAAGCAATACATGTGCCCATATAGTATGTCGTACAGAGACTACTTTACAGCCGAAGTTTACGACTAGGGTACATGGACCCTTGGGGAAAGTCCGGAAGCCCGAACTTCCGGTCCGGACTCAACCAAAATCCCTAAGCCCCAAGCCCTGAAACGCAGAAACTGCTACAGATCGCCATCCAGCCCTCATGTCACCACAGTTGCGTATGTGTGTACATACACATATGTATATATATATATATATATATGTATATATATATATATATATCATGTCTGTGCTTATATATGCACACAAAACTCAGAGAAGCAACCAGACCCTTGACCATCTAGAAGGGGCTTTGCTGAAGAGGCCTGAGTAGTTCCAAGCTGGAATCCGTTGGGAGAGGTCCGACACCATGTTCCTGGAGCGGCTTCGTCTTCTTAACCGGCTTAGGGTTTAGGGGTTTAGGGTTTCGTCTTTGTTAACCGGCTTGGGGTTTAGGGCTTGAAGGGAGCAGCTTCGTCTGGTTGACCAGTTTCCCAAAGGCTCAATGTACCTTTAGAGTAGATACTTAAGCGGGTCCCTATATAGGTGCTTTAAGGCCTAAGTATATCCTATATGGGTACGTGGATCCTTAGGGTTTAGGGTTTAGCGGTTTAAGGCTGAGGCCGGGGAGCGGCTTCCTCTTTTGACCGGTTCGGGGTTTTAGGGGTTGAGGATTTTGGGGAAGGGTTCGGAAAGGGGTTACTACTGTATATGGGGCTTCGTTTTTTTGACCGGTTTAGGGTTTAAGGGCTTACGGTTCAAGATTCAAGCAGCTATCAAGAGGATTCTTATAAATTATAAAGGGTTCCTTAAAGAGTTCCATTTAAGGCTTCCTAAAATTTTACCGGTGTTACTATATGTGTCCAAGCGAGAGTTGCTAGAGAGTTTAGCGTTTAGGGCGATGTGGGGTGTTTCGGGGGATTACGGCTCGACGGTTTTCGGATTTAGGCATCAGCTTAGGATGCGCAGATGGGGGAACCTTGGACCAGGGTCCCGCTCAGCGCCCTGTACTATCCATTTAGACTGCACGACTTTAGGACTTCGAATTCGGGTTCCGTTCAGGGTTCATGGTGCGTCTTTTTGGAGAAGCAGTTTAGCGGTTCCTGGCTTAGCTGTTCGCACCTGCCTCGCGTCAGCACCAACCCCTGCTAGTCATGAACTCACTTCGCCATAGCGGGAACCCGAATAATGCGAGTTGTGGGGCACTTTTCCGGACCTTGCGAACACTTGCCCTCCTTGCAACCCGAAACATCACGCGCAAGAGCTAAAGGTGGAACCAAAACGGTCATGCTTTGAAAAGCAGGCCAGCAAGGGTTTAGGGTTTAGGGTGCCCCGACAAGTCCATCACAAAATCACAAGAGCCCCGCCCCCCAAGTAGCGAATCCCGAAGTCCCAGAATTCAAAACGCTGAAACCAAACCCGAACTGAAAACATCCGATGCGACCCTGTGTCTCCTTTTCCCCAAGCCGTAAGACACGAACCCTGAACCATACAGCTCGAAACCTGAAGGGGGTGCCACCCCCAAAAACCCTGAAAGCCCGGCTTTTGGCCCGAACTTCGAAGACAAGTCGCTGGAGTCTCTGCTGCGACATTCGAACTGTGACCAGGACTGTTCCGAATCCCACGAGCAGCCAGTGGAGAGGCTTGGGCCTGGAGCAGCTCAGTTCCCCCTCAACCCCCAGACCCTAAAACCCTAAACCTAAACCCTAAACCCCCAAATCCTGAAACTCTAAACTCAAAACCCTACCCTAAACCCCCAGACCCTACAACTCTAAACTCGAAACCCTAAACTTCCTTGAATCGTGGACTCTGAAGCCTGGCAACCTTAAACCTTAAACATTGGACCCTAAAACTTAAACTATAAACCCTAACCTTACACCCTGGACCCTAAAAGTCTATAAACTCCAAGACCCCTATATCACTCTAAAATCTACACCGTAGACCTTACGCCCAAGAAGACCCTCAAACTCTAAAGTCTGAACCCTAAATCTACACCCAGAGACCCCACAACTCCAAACCAGAAACCCAAACAGCCTTCAGTGGAAGGGTTCGGTGACGTAGGCTGCAGGGGGGACAAGTATCTGTCTATCCATAAATAAGCGTAAAACCACATAAGTAAGATACACTGTGCATAAACATAACGATGAACAAATATACATATGTATGCAAATATGCACATACAGATGCATGTATGTGTATGTATGTATGTATGTATATATATATATATATATATATGTGCGTATACGCATACATGTATGCATGTATGTGTGTATGTACTCGTAATTGTATGTATATACATCTATACCTACTACAGTACCTACAGACATGTCTATGTCTATACAGATATATATATATATATATATATATATGTCGATGGTATTGAATATCTGTATACATGTGTATGCCCAAGCAGCTCCAACCAATAAGCACTAAAAGCCCGCAGCAGAAACCTTGACATCGAATCTACGTGCGAAGTCCTAAGCCCTGGACCCCACACTGGTCCCGACCCTGACATCCGCGCTTCTCGCATCGGCCTGGTCATCGCGAAGAACTCGAGCTGCTATAGGTGCAACATGGCTTGGCGAAGGAACCATTTTTGCACGAAGAACTACTCCATGTCAGGTTTGGGTGTGCGATCTTGTTCACGATGTTGGAGGATTCGCGCTTCGTGCTCATTAGAGCCTAGGGCGCAGAAACCTTGCATCAAGTAGCATCTGCCCATATACCAGCTTAACCCGACATAACATGTTGAGGTTCGCTTGGGTTCCCGTAGCAGGTGCAGAGGCACCGAAATCCATTTAGAACGGTTTAGGGTCTAGAGCATGGTGTTCGTGACCTCTAGAGGTACCATAACACTGACTGCAGGAAGGTCAATCCCGTAATAGATGTCTTTCGGTATATAACTCGCTGTGTTAGCTTCTGCATGTTGGGTGCAGTGGGCATCATCACTTGTTCCACATGCTCGGCTTTTTGCATACTTAAGCTGTTTATAGGTTGTACTTCTGTACGAGGATGCCACGAACGGCTGCGGAAGTTGGTGCCGAGTTGATGAAGCGAAAACTCGTTTCGGCACATGTTGGTGTCACATTTCGCGAAAACTCGTTTCGGCACATGTTGGCGTACACATTTCGACCTCTTCAAATGCCCCTACAGGAGTCTCGACAACAAGATACCCGCCACCACCAACCCAAGTCCACTCATGTGGCTACACATCGTACAAGCCCCATAGCATGCCCACACCCAACGTTATAAGTAAATATGATACATACATGTATGTTGCATGTAAGTTATTGCTTAGGCCCCAGTGAAACTCCTTCGGAAGGCTGAAACGGAGGACCCATCTATCCTCAGGCTCAAAACAGCGACAGCTCGTGCCCAAGGCGAACTGCTAAATCCCTGAGGCTCAACATGGAAGGAAATAGTTCAAGAGCCTTGTGCCCTTATACTTCGGTTTAAAGGGTGTAGGGTAGCTAAGGGTTTAGTAAAACCTAAGTATACGCCCTACACCGTATAGCCAACAAAAACCTGAACCCTAAACCTGGTTGTGGAGCGAAATCTTTTGCATGCGTCACCGCTTTGGCGTCGCTCGGTGCTTTGCCTGCAAGGAAGATCAGCTGTGCACTTACCTAACCTTTGCGCACATATGCTTTTCACTCTTGACCTTAAGCCATGAAGGTTTAAAGCTTGGAGGTTTAAAAGCCCTACAACCCTAAACCCTAAACCTTAAACCCTAAAACCCTCAACCCCCAAACCCGAACCCCTAAACCCTTCATAGAACCCTTAAACATCCCTTATAGAAATCCTCATAGATCCCTTTAAAGGAACCTCTAAAGCCCCAAAACCCCTAAACCCTCCAAGGTTTCGATGCATCTGGTTCTAGTGCCGGTCGTGGGGTTTCGGGCTGTGGGGCGGGGCTGAGCCTAGCATGCCCAGTAACCTAGGGTTTAGGGTTTAGGGTTTAGGGTTTGGGGTTTGGGGTTTAGGGTTTAGGGTTTAGGGTTTGGGGTTTAGGGTTTAGGGTTTAGGAATAAAAAGGGCTCGCTTTTTGGTATTGGGTAACTGTATAAGGAACCTAGGACTACCAAAAGGGAATAAGGGTACTACTGGGCAGCCTAGTATCGGGGCTGTGGACCATGAGCACGGAGGCATTAGGATAAGAAGTTATCAAGACAATCGAACTAATGTCATAAAGGCAAATGGAGACACATTGAACGTACTGAGAAGCCTGAGAAACACAAAAGGTACAAATAATAAAGACTACTTTCGGAAAATGTGAAAAACAAAAAGTGATTAAATGATAACCAATCATCTTAAATATGGAGCATTCTTGGAGCTGAACGCCTCGATGATTTAAGGCGCGAGGTTGGAGAGCTCCGCGAAGCATTGACGATACTAGTACCTACCCCCCCCCCCCGATTGTAAAATAATGGCCCAATACCCATAAAAGGCTGTTATTCTACATACTTTTGGGGTCCGGGTAGCAAAATAGCAGGTGGGGGCAAGGAAAATCACAGTGAATCCTAGGCGACGCTGAAACCTCACGGTGCTCTTGTATGCAACTTGCCATAAGCGAAGGTCTTGGCTTAGGGCTTCGAGGTTGGAGTAGAAACGGACCCCAGCCTGCAATATCTGAGGTGGGGGCAACTCCGGCTTTCAGAGAATGGCGGCACCCGACACCATACCACCCTGAAGCCCCAAGGCTGTTTTTCACTCCCTCACCCAGAGAGCCCAATGCCCCTTATTTAAGGAATATAGCTTAATTCATAATATGAACTCCCTTATAGTTTAAGGTATATTCCTTAATTAAGGGGTAGTGGGCTCTCTGGGCAGCGACCCTGCACTGGCCGCCAGCCTGGTAGACTTGGCGCACGAAGGACTTCCAGGCAGCGAAGTCAAATCGCAACTTTCCATCCCTGCACCATGCGTGCAGCATGCGCTTGTGGTGACTAAACCCGAAGCCCTAAACACCGAACCCCTAACCCCCCGAAACCTACTGTTGATGATATAAATCCTGCATGACCTTAAGGACCCTAGACTATGGGAATTCTGGTATATTCCTCGTTGTGGGTTATGCAGGATGTATATCATCAGCCGTAGTAACAAGTCCCGCTGCTCAAAAAGCCTCTAGGGTCAGAAGCCTTGCAGCAGCAAGTCCCCGCGCAGGTATTGGGAATCCTTTGTGGGGTACACAAACTCTGCTAATGCGCTTTAGCTGAGCAGGGAAGGCATATACATACATGTATATATATATACACATAAACATACAGAGATGTATGTATGTATGCATGCATGCATGTATGTAAACATAGATCATATGTGTGTAATTAAATCATATATAGATACCGTAGATGTTAAAACCCCTAAGATCTCGACGCCACTCCTCACCCCTTATAACGTCGAATGCGGTTGAACTCGGTAATCCCTTTATCGAGCTTCGGCCCCAGATCAGGGCTTGGGCATCCCTCTGCGTCAAATCTGCTTTGGATTCCCTAAACCCTGAACCCTAAAGTCTAAACCCTAATCCCTAAACCCCCTATCTTCTTTTTTGAGAGCTTCGGGTTTGGGGGTTTAGAATTGTTGAAGCCGTGGTTGGGAGCGTCTTGTAACAGTAAGGAATTGAATAGGCGGCTTGGCTTGGAAGGCGAGGGAAGCTTTTCTCGAGATTTTAACAGGCCTGAGGCTTGGGATTGGAGTGCTTTCATAAAGTGTTAATGTAAGGGCCTTAATGATTAGACCTCATTATGCTTATATCCCCAAACCCTGGTCTATTTTTTAAGGCCCCTACATTAAGCCACTGAACCCTGAGCTCTAAGCCTTATAAACTCTACACCCTAAACTCTAAACCCTAAACCCAAAATTTTAAACTCTAAAGCCCAAACCCTAAACCCTAAACCCCGCCCCTAAACCCTAAACTTTAAACCCTAAACCTCAAACCGTACACTCTAAACCCTAAACCCTAAAAGTAAAGGCCCCCTTCAGGTCGAAGTGACAGCAGATCTGTCGGGCCTGCAGCAGGCCTGATCCCACGGCTGGCTGTGAAGCTTTTAGGGTTTAGGGTTTTAGGCTTTAGGGGTTTAGGGGTTTAAAGTTTAGGATTTGGGGTTCAGGGTTTAGGGTTTAGGGGTTTAGGGTGTAGGGTTTAGGGTTTAACAAGGGGGCCTTCATAATTACAGCAGGGGTAGTAGGGTTCTATATTCTACAATATATGGGCCTTTATAGTTAGAATAGGGCTTTGGGGCAGATTATATATCAAATAATTACAGTAGGGCTCCTCCCCCAAAATCGTATAGGTGATTATTAAGCCCCGTATATTATAGTGTTCGGGCTTCCTGGCTGTGAAACTTTAACCAGGGGCCTTAATGATTACAGTAGAGCTCCCTTTGAAGGGGTCTATGAGGGATCTATAGTAGGTTTCTATATTCTACAATACATGGGGCCTTATAGTTTGAATAGGGCTTTGGGGCATATTATACTATAGCTACAGTAGGGCTCCTCCCGCAAAATAGTATAGGTAATTATGAAGGCCTGTATATTATAGTGCTCGGGCTTTGTAAAGGGGCCTTAATACTTACAGCATGGCTCCCTTTAAAAGGCTCCCTTTACAGGGGTCCATGAGGGATCTATAGTAGGGTTCTATATTCTACAATATATGGGCCTTCGTAGTTAGAATAGGGCTTTGGGGCATATTGTACTCTAACTATAGTGAGGGCCCCTCCGGCAAAATAGTATAGGTAATTATGAAGGCTCGTATATTATAGTGTTCGCGCTTCCAGCTTAGGCTGTTGAGGACTCGGTTTTCGTTGAGGATGGGATTTAGGCATTAATTTAGGGGTTTCGCTTACCGATCTCTATCTTCTCTCTCTCTCTCTCTCTCTATCTGCTTCTCTTCTCTGCCTCTCTCTCTCTCTCTCTCTCTCTCTCTGCCTCTCTCCTTCTATCTCGTAATGCCTGCGTCTCTCTCGCTGTCTTGAAAGAGAAGTTGTAAGAGCAGTTGTCGTCGTCGACGAGGTCGGAGTCGTCACATGGTGGGGGGTTGTTGTGGTCGTCAAAGCAGCAGTGGTGTCGTAACCGTACCGTGATTCTAATCCTGGTCAAGATCGTGGTCCTGATGCATGTCGCAGCTGAAAAAGTAGTTGTTATTCTTAGTAGTAGTAGTCGTCGTCGTCGCTGCCTAGCAGCAGCAGCAGCAGCATCCGCAGGAGTAGTAGTAGTAGTAGTAGTAGTAGTAGTAGTAGTAGTAGTAGTAGTAGTAGTAGTAGTAGTAGTAGTAGTAGTAGTAGTAGTAGTAGTAGTAGTAGTAGTAGTGTTAGCAGCAGCAGCAGAAGGAGGAGGAGGGTAGCAGTAGAATTAGAAGTAGAAAACAGAAGCAGGAGGAGCAGCAGCAGCATCGGTGGCAGTAGCAGTGGTCGTCATCGTCGCTTATTCTGAGCAAGTAGTTTTGAAGGCCTCTGTATGCTGCCCGCGCAGAACGAACTCGCAAAGCTTGTCCAAGAGCTGCCACTCGGCTGAGGACCTGCATGGAAAATCGCTCGCTAAAACTTT